GTTAGTGGATACTGGCGGACTGTATCATGGCTGCATTCGGTAGGGGCGGCCGGTTATGAATTCTATACGAACAGCACGCATTTTTGTATATGAGCGTGCCGCGTGCCACGCTATTGAGCCATGATTCTGCGTGCATTTATCTTCAACCATGCATGAGGGCTCAGACCGTACATATGTGCGCATATCAATTAAAGATTACTGTCGCTATTTTGAAGGCCGGGTACATTTAAAAGCCACGAGTCAAGCATCACAGCCATCCTTCCCTATCTCTTGGCAACGTCATCGCTTAGACGACAGATGCGCCTCGCGATTTCACTAGGGCAAGCGGTGAAACAATCAAACGTGTCTTGACGAACGAACACCCGTTCATGCGCCTGCCAACCCCAGTCACTTCCTCCTGACTACCCCATGTTTCTTCTCGACAACACTGGGCAGCTCGAAGAAATGCAACCAAGCAATGCGCACGACTGGCACTCCGCTCCGTAACTGGACTCTTCTCCTGCTGCTATGCAGCGTATCCGCGTCCGCCCTCGCTGAAGCAGCGAATGAGGCAGCGAACGGCGAATCGAGCGCTACTGCACATGAAGGTGCCACGCCGCAGCATACGTCCACTCCCGCGTCTTCGCCCACGCATTCGCCGTCACCGTCGTCCGTTCGGAGGTATGCCAGCAGCGGAAGCACATGCCCATATCGCACAATAAACTACATCACACACACGCTCCCACAGCAATGCGCAAAGACAAGCTGGTCAGCGCCGGGCGAGGCAATCGCGACCGCTGGCACAGGTGCTGAGGAAGGAGCCATAGCTGGTCTACAGACTCCCACGCCCGCGGCAGGAAACGGTTCCGAGGGCAACACAGGAGTGGACAACGGAGCTACCTCAGTCGTGGTGTCCGAGGCTGGCTCGACTGCTGCAACTACGGATACTGCAAGCACCGCTGAACCGGAGCTTGACCTGGAGGCAGACTCACCTTTTGACAATGCCAATTTCCTCTCCTTTGAGGAGTGGAAGAAGAGGAACTTGGCGGCCGTCGGTCAGTCGCCTGAGAACGTTGGCCAGGGACGAGCAGCCGGCACGAACCAACCTGCTAGGCGACGACCCGTCAACGTAAACGCCCTCGACTCGCTTGGCGACGAAGGCGAGATATCCATTGACTTTAGTGGGTTTGGGTCTCCGGAGGACGAAAATGTAGCAAACAGTATCCAGCACGGCAAGCAGAGCGCGGGAGCTTCAAAAGCCGCGGACGGGGAAGGCAAGGTCGCACCAAGCTCTTGGGCGCTGAGCAAAGATGCAGGCAAGACGTGCAAGGAGCGCTTCAACTTCGCCTCGTTTGACTGCGCAGCGACGGTGTTGAAGACAAATAAGCAGGCCAAAAGCTCCTCTTCTATTCTCGTGGAGAACAAGGACAGCTACATGTTGAATATATGTTCGGCAGACAACAAGTTCCTTATCGTAGAGCTCTGCGACGATATCCTCGTCGACACCATTGTCCTCGCAAACTACGAGTTCTTCTCCTCCATGTTTCGCCATTTCAGAGTCAGCGTCTCTGATCGGTATCCGGTGAAATTGGAAAAATGGCGTACGCTGGGCACATTTGAAGCGCGCAATTCGAGGGACATTCAGCCGTTTCTGATCACGGAGCCGCAGATTTGGGCGAGGTATCTGAGGGTGGAGTTTTTGACGCAGTTTGGAAATGAGTACTATTGTCCGCTCAGTGTGTTGAGGGTGCATGGTACGACGATGATGGAGCAGTTCAGACAGGAAGAGGAGGAGGCAAGGGGTATTGATGACGATGACGATCTGGAGGCAGATGGTGTCGAGGTTAAGAAGCCGGCTGCGGACAGCGGGCCTTTGTCACCAGAGGAGATACCGATTGAAGCAGCAAAGGATCTCGGCATCGACGACGCCGATGAGAACGTCTCTTCGGAGGCTAATTTGGGACCGTCGTCTGAAAGCTCTCCTGCGCCAACGGTTACAGCAGAACCGGCGGACGAACCACCTCAGAATCAGCCCGTGCCAGAGTCGACGACTACATCACCTCTATCTGTGCCGAGCGCCTATGGAGCCGGAAGCGAGAATGTCACAGCTTACGGAGAGCCGAAATCATCCGATACCCCTCCACTAAAACCGACAGATGGCACGTCGCAGGCCGCGAGCTCTTCATTCGACGCCTCCACGAACAACTCCTCAGACTCCGTATCTCGCGTTGACACCGCTACAGCGCCAACAGACAATGCCACGGCTTCGTCTTCAGGTAGTCCAGCAGCCAAAGCATCAAGCAACAGCACCGTTGCGAGTGCGCCTGCCCAGGGCCGCGGCTCCTCAACCCAGCCCAATGCGCCCGCGCCTTCGACCCAAGAATCCTTTTTCAAATCGATTCACAAGCGTCTCCAATACCTCGAGGCCAATAGCACGCTCTCGCTCCAATACATTGAAGAGCAGTCCCGCGCTCTCCGCGATGCCTTTGTCAAGGTGGAAAAAAGGCAACTGGCCAAGACGGAGAAGTTTCTGGATCACCTCAATAGCACGGTCATGTTGGAGCTGAAGAGCTTTAGGAACATGTACGATCAGCTCTGGCAGAGTACCGTTATCGAGCTGGAGAGTATGAAGGAGAGGCAGCAGAGTGAGATGGGGGAGATTGGTACGAGGCTGACTCTATTGGCGGATGAACTTGTTTGGCAGAAGAGAATGGCCGTTGTGCAAAGCACGCTGCTTCTCCTCTGTCTGGGCTTGGTGCTGTTTGTTCGCAGTGGGACGCTGGGTGCGGGTGGTGGCGGTGGCAACGACATGCCCATTGTACAGCAGCTCGGCAGCAAGTATAGCAGTTTCTTCGAGTCGAGCCCGCCGCGCAGAATGTCCGAGGCGGAGGGCATGAGCAGGCAGCGCAGGACGTTTCGGAACATGTGGCGCAGTGGTGAGGCAAGTGGGCATCTGAGCGATCATCATGATCACCGGAGGGATAGCGATGGTGGTGTCAGACGTGGTGGGGACGGTAGTGACACGGAGACGGAGGGACTGCGTAGTCCGGTGCGGATTCAGTATAGTCCGCCTACGCCTACGAGTCCTGCGTCGCCGAATATACACGCTTCCCGACATCACCAACGCCATCGTAGGGAAGATGAAGAGGGAGAACCGTCTTCTAGTCCCCCGCCGGTTCGTTCTATTCGCACGAATGGCATACATGCCGACTCTGCCGGGGACAATGATGACGACGACTACCAGAATGAACCGGAAACACCAATAACAACAACAACCACAGCAGAAGACCAAGCCACCAGAATCCAGGTCCTGGAAACTCAATCTGGTCCCGCAACGCCAAATGGAACAAGAGATTCACGACCGAGTTGGGAAGAAGTGGAACGAGCGGTTGATTTGTTGAAGGCGGAGGAGGAGGAACAACAACAACAGCAACAACAGCAAAATCAACAGCAACATCAGCAGCAACATCAGCAGCAACATCAGCAGCAACATCAGCAGCAGCAGCAACAACAAGGGCAGAAGAATAATGTCTTTGCTTCGTCGCCGCCGAATTCGCCGGGTGGGTCGCCGGGGAGGAAAAGGAGGAGGAAGAGGGAGAAGGGTGGGGGGAAGGCAGAGATGAAGAGTCCGCTTAGACGGAGTTATAGTAGTTTTGACGGGGGAGCTGGGGAGTGAGAAGGGGCGGGGTTGAGGGATCGTGGTATGGCGTTTTTGGGGTGGTAGGGCTATGGGATGTGTTGTGTGTAGCGTCGGTAAGGGTGTTTGTGGTATACGCATATAGTAACCACGAATATCTTCACGTCAAAACTTTCTTCCTAATCGAGCAGTATGATCAAAGCAGTGGATTGTGGGCTCAAATCTTTTGACCTCCTACTAATACCTTTTGTTTTTCACTGTTCTACATCTTGATCACTTCTCTTGACCCTTTCGTTATATGAACCTCACACGATTTTCTTAGCTCCTCTTTCCTAATCTGGTAGGTTTATGCAAAAGTGTCGATTACGGTACGCTCTTGCGATGGGCGCGCAGGGCGACCATGGCGACTACGGCTGCTAGAGCTACCCTGGCGATCAGGGAAACTGGGGCGAGCATGGCGAATATGGCGAATCGAGCGGACGGGGCGCACAGCGCGAGTATGGCTGCCGGCGCTGTGAGGGGGCGTCCGTGGTCAAAAGCGCCCTGGCTGTAATCGATGGTTTAATGGGACTTTCCTGATTGGGAAGTGTTCTATCTGAGCTATTGATCGCGGTGGTTTACACAAGGCTACAACGTGTCGGTCGAATTTAATGAAGATCTGGATCATGTCATTTTTTTTTCTGATAGATAGTTGTCCCTGTGATGCCAGTCTCCAAGAGGTATCTAGGTAGGTTCTGGCGGATATACACAACGCAGCTGTGGGTTTTAGTTCACTCTGTATCTCGTCATCAGCTTCTATGACTTGCTCATCGACCTGCAATGGAGCAAAAGGACTGCTGGTCGAATATCGTCAAATGGGGTTTTCCCAATGAAGCTGTCGTTTGCTTTCGTGTTTACAACCCGCCCACTACTCGTCTAAAACTTCGCGACCCCCTTCGTCCCTTCACTCCGCATAACTTTCGTCTCTCTCAGACATGATGTATCCTTATCAGGCAAAAATTCGACTCCTTTCTAAATTGCAGCAACTCTCATCATCCTACCAACACCTGCTACTTGCTAAGTGATTGGAATCTTAGTCATGCAAGTTCCAAAGAGATGGAATGCGGGAGTTTTGATAACGCTGCAACATGTTGCCTGAAGGTCTGTGGGGCCAAATCAACCCCTCGTCCACGCTAAGTATTGCAGTGCAGCGACGACGGCACGATTGACACTTAGCTCCAATCTCAACGTCGGCTCCACTTCTTCCTTTTGATTTACCACCAAACATATAGGTGCCCGTGTACCTCTCGAGCTTGTCTGCTCCGCACACGCCATCTTGCTCGAATGTTGGAGGTGCACCACTCCGAGCAGGTCGGTTGTCAGTGTCGTAGTTGCCACCCCCACCATGCGCCTCTTACAGCGTCAAGATAATGACAGTTTCCGGCTTGTCTATCGCGTTGATGAACAGATACCGCCTTACGCAATCCTTTCGCACACCTGGGGAAGTGAAGAGGACGAAGTTACCTTTAAAGACGTGGTTGATGGTACATACAAAAAGAGAAAAGGTTATCGGAAACTCCAGTTTTGTGCGAAACAGGCAGCTGAAGATGGTTTAGACTTCTTCTGGATCGATACATGTTGTATCGATAAATCTAGCAGCGCAGAGCTTCAAGAAGCTATTGGCTGCATGTTCCGTTGGTATAGGGATTCGGCAAAATGCTACGTCTATCTTGAAGACGTTTCGAATGAGTCACTTATGTATTGGGATGATCGTGAGCATGATTACTCGTTGCAATTTCAAGAGAGCAGGTGGTTTACCAGGGGATGGACACTCCAAGAGCTCCTTGCACCAAAAGACGTCAAGTTTTATACCAAACAAGGTGGTCTGATCGGAAGAAAGTCGGGCATGGTTGATTGGATCGCCGAAATCACGGGTATTCCTACGGATGCTCTGCAGGTTACACCGCTGTCGCGCTTTGGTATCGACCAGAGAATGAAGTGGTCAGAGGGACGGAAGACAACGCGTCAGGAAGATCTGGCCTATTCGCTACTAGGCATATTTGACATACACATGACACTCTACTATGGTGAGGGCAGGGAAAGAGCGTTCGAGCGACTGAAAAAAAAGATAAGAAAATCTCAACACGTCGATGGCTCCAGTCTTCAGCAACCAGAGCCCATCGCCCTTCGGTCTGACCATTTCGGATATGTTTTGCATAGCTCCACAATGCTACACGAGACAGACTATCAGTACAGTCTTCTGATGGGCAATGACTCGAACGAGACTGGAAAGCCAGATCTATGCGCAGTGAAGAGAGGTGATACCAACTTTAAAAACCTTGAAGTCAACCTCCTCTATGGAGCTTACGATTACCAGAAATTCGTCCTCAGGATCGCGATACCGAATTTCACACCAATGCGAGAACATTGGACCATGGCCGGACAAATGAATCCTGGACCAATGGATTTCTTCCTCGCAGACTGGAGTGGCGATGGTACTTTGGATCTTGTCATGATCAAGAAGTCCTACACTGGTACACAAGTTCGTATATTTTCTGGTGCCGACAAGTTGCAGACAATCTTGTTTGAAGGTGAAACAAATCTCGGTAAAACGGACCATACATGGACTTTTGGCATGGGGAAATGGGGTGAGGGCGAAAAACCGGATTTGATCGCGATCAAGAAGTCCAGTACTCTAACCAAGACCACTGAAGTGTACATCTTGAAGGGCGATGATCGCTTCAGAATCGCCAAACTGCAAACTCAGACTGCCCTACACGAGACAGATTCGAAATGGGACTTTGTTGTCGCTGACTGGAATGGAGATGGAAAGCCTGATCTAGTCGCCATCAAAAAGAGCGAGACAGCTACCAAATGCACAGAGGTGCATGTGTTATCTGGGGCATCTTCGTTCCAAGAATTCAGCTTACGAGCGGAAACGCCGTTATTCAGAAGCCACGGCCTATTCGAGTTTGCAGTAGCGGATTGGACTAGAAATGGAAAGTCGGATTTGATTGCATTCAAGAAGAGGGAAACCGAGACTGGTAACACAGAGGTGCATGTCATGAGTCAGCTGGTCTAATCTTACTGGCCTAAGACCTTCATAATTACCCTAATGTGTACTGTCTTTCAGCACATCAAGTCTACGAGAAAACAGATGGCCACAGAGACTGGAGGTGAAAGAGCGTCACTCCGCTGTCTCAATTAGGCAATCTGTACCGATTGGAATCGATTGCAACAACTTTCGTAACCCTCCTACCGCCTGCAGCGAAAGTATAAGCCAACCCAAAGACGGATGTTATCTATTCGTTGTGGTAGATTTTGCAAGAGGCCAGTCTTGTAGAGACGAGATGGGAACAAATCTCACATCGTTACTACACATTGTCCAAAGGCTTCGAGTTACAAAACTCCAGGCGGACGGCTCATCCATGCTAAGAACTGCAATGCAAGGTTAGCTCCCAACTACCTCTTATCGAGGCTCGCTATCCAAGCTCCTAGGCTTGCTGCCCAACCTCCTACTGCCCTTCTAGGCCTGCTCTGAGTACATAAGGCTGGCCCTCAGCCTTATCTATTGATTTGATCCTTCGCGCTAGAGATCACAATACAGCTACTTAGGGCGAGCGCCTTCTCGTTCGTGATCATTCCCGCAGCCGTAATTGTTTGTCGATTGGTGTGTAGTAGTTGAGCTAGCGCACCTTCTACAACATCTGGTATGCCGTTCATATTCGGTCGCAATAAGAGTTGTCATTCAGAGTAGTTCTGAGTGCGATTTGTGTACCAAGTTGTGGTAAGCTTTCTGACACGTGCTCTTGTTGTGCACAAGGCAGATATGCTAGCGCGGGTTCCCCGCGTTTTCTCGAACCTACCTAAGCAGCCACGTAGCCTTCATCGATTCTCGTGCGTACACTGCCACCAAATATATTCCATGCCAACAAGCGTTACAGATCTCCGTTGGCTCTCTATCTGAATCTTGGGCGTCAAACTAGGAACTCCCCTGGTCACCAGGCTGTATAGCTCACCAGTCGAGCCATGTATCTCACTTCCCGATGGCCCTGCAATTGCTCCGCGACAGCTCAGGCGCCTTTTTCAATATTCAGGCCGGGTAAAAGTGAGCGAAAGCAGGGTGGCTCACTATATCATTCGCTTTCAGCGCAGCCTCACGTTCTGTAGACTCACCTGCAGGGCCTTTCTCAGCTCACGATGCGGGCAACATGCTGCGCCTTTGGCTCTGTGCTGTCACCACAGATGCATTTAAAAAGCGTGAGCTGGCCACATGTGCCTACGCCAGGACAAGCGAAGACGCTCATATCTATCTTCGCCGGTAAAGAAAGGTCAAAACCATAACAGCTCCGCCCGTCCTAGGAAGAGCTCGATATCGAACCACATGACTCCGAGCTACAGCGAGTACGTAGATGCGCAGATACCGAGCCATCCCTGTCTCAAGGGATTGGCCGATTTTCTTCATGGTTATGGGAAAACACAAGTTCATCCGACCAAATTTTCCAGCATCGATTTCGCACAGGGCAACTGTCAAAATCCGCAATCGTGGGAAATACGCGCAAGAGATGCTCTTTTCACCACTGCATCCTTTGGAGTCTCGGTGACCTCGGAACAATCGGAAGAACAAAAATTGCAGGATATCCTGGACATACCAAGCGACGCACAGGGACGAGTGTTGATCATCGAAGACATGGATCGACACATAGCATCCTATCTTGGCGCACGATACGACATATCGCCCTTCTTCTTTGCAAACCATCTGCATAACAGCTTTTCCAACTTCGAAGAGCGACCACCGCTAGGCTCACTGACTATCCCCTCGATTCATTGCAAGGGGAAAAGTATCCATCTGCACTACCGACGAGTCATCGATCTTGGACCCGCAGGACGCGAATCGTCGAAGCAAACGTGTACGAACAGTAATTTGACGCGTTCGGTCACCTTGACGCCACCAATCTCGCCACGCTCCCTAGGCTGGGCTCGTAGTTGTTGCTCGATCATGAAGAAATTGATATCGCAAGACCAGTGGCTTTGTATGACTATCCTTACGCGTAATTTCTCCCTTGGCTAACGATCAATCTAGGTTTGGTATTCGTCGATCCAACAAACGCATATGTTCGTATGTCAACGGATTTGAGTAAACCTTGCTTAAAACAAGTCCCGTTACATGGCGGTGGACCAAAGCTTGGTCTGAGCATCACAAAGTTCTCGAAATGGCAGAGCAACAGCGATAATGTCATGACTACGAACAACGCAAGGAATCTATCGGCTGCTCGGGCTTCTAACACAACCGAAGAGCCTTCGTTGCGAGACATACTCATACAATGCTTCCAGCAACCTTCTCCAGACTTCGATGCACAAGATCCGTCTCTTCTGAGCTTAGCATACCACCCCATTCGAATCGTCATCTCGGAATGGAACTTCTACACGATGCTGCTCAGTCGTTACGTAGAGCATTACGAATACGCTCTCATCTCGTCCGAGGCAAGTGTCCAACTATCTAACCTCGAAGAGCTCCTCCCTTGGCGCAGACGTTGTGCGCGAAGTCTGCAAAGATTGTGCCTTCTCCGTGTATTCATTGAGTCTCATCTCCAAGATATCCACAACGAGAAACTCAAATCGGTCTGGACACCGGTACTACAAGACATCGACCATTTCTCCTCACAAATCAGCAATTGGGCCTCATTCTTGGGTTCCATGGTCTCGCAGCTTGATACACATCAGTCGTTGATCGAAGCACGTAGCGTAAGGCGCTTTACATATGTTGTTCTGGCGTTCACAGCCTTGAGTCTGGTTACGAGTATCTTCAGTATGACAGATGAAGTCCTTCCGTGGGGTAGTCGGTTTTGGATCTATGTCGTCATCGCTGTGCCTTTCACACTTTTCGTTCTGCTCGGGTATTTTACTCTGTCTAGGAATTTAGGTCGAGCGTAGGTGTAGACAGTTGCGCTAACGAGATACCATCATCGTTGGCAAGCAAATGCAGCCTCACGTTGTTTCTCTTCTACGCTAAGAATTGCAGTGCAAACATTCGACCGATCTCGACCGCATCATACAAGGGTACTCTTCGGCCTCGTTTCAATGTCTCTAGCTGTTCCTTTGCGCTAAACATTGCAGTGCACGTACGATAATACGTCGCTCAAGTTCGGCCCGTAAACCGTGCTAAAAACTGCAATGGGCCCGGGAGTATGGCACGCTTAGTCTTGTTCACTCCTCATCATGCAAAGCTGGTCTTCAGCCTGGCTTCTCTGATTCTGGCCACCCCTCAGCCTTACCATCAATTTGCACTGCAATATTTAGCGTTGACCAAGAGCTACAGGACCAAACTACGTGTATGTATAGTGATTGCTGTTTGTTGCTTCCACATAAGATCAATTTGGGGGTTTGATCTGTTGTCGAACCGTTCAACGTCAATGTTGGGGGCTGATAGCGGATCTAGTATAGCAACCCTTAGTGCAGAGGGGCATACAGATGACAAAATTCAGGGCAACCTTGGAAAGTTTGGATGAAGGAGACATTATAGTCTGGATGAAAGGTAATAAGGAAGCCTTGCACGAAAGAGTTCATCGTAATTCCTAACAACACCCTAACATGTCTGCTAGTCGTATTCGCCAATCGTCCATTGCCGAGTCCTGGTCATACGTCCCTCTACTTCTAGTCATTTGTATTCGCTGAGAGTTGCAGTGTAAGAGGGCTCTGTGCAGTCCATTTCAATCTATGAGCAGTACAGGGCAAGGTGTTCTTTAACGCTAGGAATTGCAGTGCACTCAGCTTACAGAGTAGGGTTAGGGAAGCTGAGCTCCAGTGTCTTCGGTCAACACACGGGCTTATTATTGGTTGGATCCCTGCCGTCGCTCATGCACATAACCACTTGTAGATGGATTATGGCCGCTCGTCTGCGCTAAAGATTGCAGTGCAGTGGGGTGTTTGTTGGATGTACGTTCTTTCGAGCACAAGGCTGATTTTCAGCCTTGTACGCTCGCACCCAATGAAGCTGACCTCAAAGCTCGTTCCCTTGGCTCTGGCTGTTCCTCCACGCTAAGAATTGCAGTGCACTTACAGTCTGGAGATAAAGGGCGGCTGTGTGAACTTCCATTGGTTAGACAGTTGCCACTTCACATCTGCCTTCAGTGATATCCGATCTTGGAATAGTCTACCACGACATGGACGCAATCTGTGTCGGCACTGACCAGGAACCGCGTCCGAGAAGGCCTCTGCATCGGGTGTATTCAATTCCATGATGTGTTGGGCGCAGCGTAGCCTACTGCGAGGGAATGGTCAAGCCCACAGGCATTACAAGCCACCCACAGAGCCATCTCCTCTTGATCGCATGATGCTAGTCAGACAAGGTCTTCTAAAAGTATGGCACGAGCCTTTTTTTATCATGAACGAAACATTCGCCACCACCATCCTATCGTCAATCTTTGATCACGTGCATAGTTCCCCGATCCATATACCCACTTTCACAAGCCAGAAGCAACGGCACCAGGCTTAATAACGAAACTTTTATATTCTATGCCTCAAAATCACGGTATATCATCCCAAAGTCCGATACCAGAAAACGCCAATCATGCAATCATAACCTTCCCATTTCCCCACCTCCACTCTTCCATCACGGCAACCATCTTCCTTGACAAATCTTCTTCTCCTTCTCTATCTCTCTTTCTCTCTCTTTCGCACACAAAAACACCATTTAATCAACATACTCACTCCTCACCTTCTTCGCCCTCCTCTTATTCGCCTTGAAATGTTTCTTACCACTCATCATTTGCATCTCCTTAGGATCCACATCCTTCTCCAACGCCGCCATCATCTTCGCCTTCCTGCCACTCAGCTCCTTCCCTTGCTCACTATACTTGTAATGAAACGGCTGGTTTACCTTAGCCATCCCTTGTCCCGGGCCAAAAAACCGTTTATCCATGCGCTGCGTCTTTGCACCTTGAACGGGTACACCACCGCCGTCGAGCTCATCGTCCATGAGTGACATGTCGTCGGCTTCGGGTCCGGCAAGGGAATGGTTACCAGGGAGGTTGGCGAGAGGGTGGTGGCGGCGCTTGGCGGGGAGGTGATTTACGTCGTAGAGTTCGCGGTTGAAGTGCTTGGGGTCTAGCGGGGGATCGGTGGGTGGGGGATGGCAGAAGAGGATCTTGCCCTTGACGTAGTCCTTGAGGATGTAGCGTGCGGCTCGGGACTCATCTGGTTGACCGAGACCTTGTGTGGAGAAACCTCGGGCGATGGCGTAGGCGCGGAGGACTTCGTCAGAAGTCAGAATGCCGGTTCCACCTTCTTCGATTGGTCGGGGGTGGATCTTCATTCCGTAGAGAGCCTCGAGGAAAGGTTGTGGGATGCGGCGTGCAACAAGACCGGCGGGACCAGTGTACTCGCGGAGTTGGTCGATTGGCAATACACCAGCACATACGAGTTCGGCTTTGGTTGTTGCAAAGTTGGGGAACACTAGACCGGGGCAATCACACAGGACAACCTTCTCACTGAGATGGATAGTTTGGAAGTGCTTGGTCTTTCCGGGTGTGGCGGACACAGACACCTTCTTCGCACCGATCAAGGCGTTGATGGTGGACGACTTTCCGACGTTGGGGTAACCGACCAGACCAATCGATGTCTTTCGCGGTTCGCCATTGGGTCCGGTGTCGACATCAGGCGCATGTTGGAGGAACAGGGCTTCGAGATCCTCGGTTGTCAGTATTCGTGTGCGCTCATCGCCATCAGCCTCTGATCGGCTTGCGCCGGGTACATCGACGGTCTCTTCGTCCACCCACTGTTCCTTCTCCTCTTGCTTGTCTTGCAAGCTGATCTTTTTGGCTTCCTTGGCAAGCGCATCAGCCTCTTGTTCTGAATCATCTCCCATACCATCGTCGGTCAGCAACTCATCCGAGTCGATATCATCGTCTGACTCATCGTCCTCAACAAGTCCAGCGCGGGCTTCGTTGATCTCTTTAGCGAGTTCAGCCGAGAAGAACTTGTAGTTGATGCCCGCTTCGGTAAAGTAGTCGGCCCAGGCTTTTCGCTGCTCCAGCGTCATCATATCCGCCTTGTTGACCAGCAACAGGTTGTTCTTCTTGGGGTCCACCTCCTTGACATAGTCTTCCAAGTCCTCGGATCGGAACATGAGCGGGTTTCGAGCGTCCACAATCTGCACAATCAGATCCGACCGCTCGATAACTCGCCACAACTGCCTCCAAACCTCGAGATTGCGCTCAAAGGGTGTCAAGAGGAGGTCGTTGTTCTCTTGTAGCTCAGCCAAGCCTCTCCGCCATTGTAGTAAGGACGCCCTCTCCTTCTCGTCCAGCTCTTGCGGCGTAGTGTCCTTGTCCCAACGAGGTCGCCTCGGTACTGTCAACCTGTTCTTGTTCTCCTTGTGCCTCTTTGTGGCATTGCGCTCCTCGAGTGGCGAGAGGAGGTATGGGTTCTTCTGGTCCTTGTGAATGATCTTGACGTTGTTCATTTTCTCGGCGGTGAAGTCGGTGCCTGCCAACTCTGCAGTGGAAAGAAAGTCGTCGAGAGCGCCTTGTTCGGTGACGGACCGCATCTTCATGTACGACGCTTCCTTCTTCTCGTTCGTGATGTACTGTGGATGTTAGTATGGGTCTTATTGTGTGTTCGATCGGACACCTCTCAAGACATTGCGCATTGTGCCTACAAGCGTGCAGGTGTTGGACTGCATAGATAACATACCTTCTCACCATTCTGACCTGTTCGCTCGATACCCGCATTGAAGTTGCCCTTTCGCAGATTATCGCCCTTTCCCTTTGAGAACCTATCGTTCATCAGGCTGTTGCCCAGCCCGACGCTCTTCTTGGATTTGGCGAGCACCATGTTTGCGGTCAAAAGTGTGTTTTGTGTGGTTGTGGTGGGTGTTTCTGACCCAATAGAGGGGTGAGTGGAAAGAGAAAGTTGCGACGGGAGTTGCCCCACCACGTCATTCACGGGCTGCCCTCGCCTAAATTATTTTTCTGAGCGCCCGCCCGACGCCAAAAGACCCTTTGTAAGCGCTTTCCCCAGACTTCCACCGCAACCAACAACTCGCCACTGCTTCGAAGATCATTGGGACGAGTCACACAACCCGCCAAGATGCCTCGCCGACAGTTCATGTAAGGAGAGAAATTCGGGTGCGCAACCAAAAAGTACCCCGCTAACCCCGCGACAGCGATAAGAAGAACGCGACAAACTTTCGTCTCGTCCACCGCGCCCAAAATGACCCGCGGATCCACGACGAAGATGCCCCGCAGATGGTCTTCGCTGAGACCAGCGCACCCAACCAGCGCGAAGAGGACCAGCCCGCTGGAAGTTCACGTGCGTCGCAATACTCGTCCGTGACGGGACGCAGCGCAATCAAGTCAAGGCGCGACCTAGAGAGCGAATATGGCGACAAAGTACGGAAGAACGAGGGCGAAGCGGCCAACTATGGCATCTACTACGACGACAGCAAATACGACTACATGCAACACATGCGCGACCTGGGCTCCGGCGGCGGCGATGCATACTTTGTCGAAGCCAAAGCCGAGAAGAAGGGAAAGCAGAAGATGGATTTGGCCGACATGCTGCGCGACGCCTCACTGAGCGACAGCAGAAGCCAGGCCGACCTCAGCGTGAGCAGCAACATCAGCAGTGTGAGCGACTTTTTTGGCGAAGACATGGCACCCTCAGAGTTCGTCCGCAAAACCACGTACCAAGACCAACAAAACATTCCCGACGCCCTCAGAGGATTCCAGCCAGACATGGACCCGCGCCTGCGCGAAGTGCTCGAAGCGCTCGAAGACGAAGCCTACGTCGAAGACGACGAAGACATCTTCAACGACCTAACCCAAGACGGCTACGAAGTTGATCAACGAGAATTCGAGTCGACAGACTTTGACAACGCGGGAGAGGACGACAGAAACCCCATGGACCGTTTCCTCGACGGCGACGACGACGCAGGCTGGGAATCCGATGACACAGTCAAAGCGCCTTCCCCCAGACAAAAGCCCGCCAGTGGCGAGATGCCTGCGCCAGACGAAGCACCCGCCCCAGCCGACGCAGCCGACCTCGCCTATCTAGACGAATTCAAGAAGTTTAAACAAGACGTAAAAGCCGCCAAACCCCAGAACAACAACGATGCCGCCAACAGAGGCATCCCCGATAACCAGTCCTTCATAACAGGCGCATCAGGCCTAACTTCAGGCGGCCGCCACAAGAAGCGAAAAGGCGCAAAGACATCTACATCTGGCTATTCAATGTCTAGTTCTGCGCTCCACAGGACCGAAGGACTTACCTTGCTGGACCAGCGCTTCGACAAGATTGAAGAAGAGTATGCTGACGATGGGTTCGGGAATTACGATGACATGCCTGATGATGCGTCCATGGTCAGTGGAATGAGCAAGATGAGCAAAATGTCCGGTATGAGTGGTATGAGTGGGTGGTCGAGCTCAGAGGCGCCCCCGCTGCGCAGCGATTTCGATAGCATCATGGATGATTTCTTGGGGAACCATCATAGTGTGGGTAAGAGTGGACGCAGGGTTAAGAAGGGTAAGCAGCAGAGTGGGCTGGAGCAGTTGGATGAGGTGAGGAGGGGGCTTGGGGCGCCCAGGGTGAAGCCGCAGGATAAGTTTAGTGTGTTGAGGGCTTGAGGTGTGGGGGATTTGAGCTAGCTCTTGGCGACTTGTTCTTTTTCGTGCTGAGAAAGATGATATGATGGGTTATGAATGTATGCATTTGTTGGCGTTTAAGGGGGGGTCGGGAAAAAGGGAATAAGGATTAGACAAAGGCTGGGATCATGTTATACCCATATCACAAGTATACAGTGGAATGAGAATCTAGACTTTACTTTCATAACTTCATTCGTTGATATCATTCAAGTCGTGACTGCTCTCGCACGTCCAATCACATCATCCTCAATCTCCCTCACACCAAACCACCCATTTCCCCTTCACGTCTTCTCTACCTGCACAGCATCTCAACCTAAGCCTTGGGCTCAACACTTGCGCCCGCGACACCCCTCTGAAGCGACTTCTTGCTAACCAGCCTGAATCCACCCACAAGCATAAGCAGCGCCAAGCTACCCAGCACAACCGCCAACGTAACAAACGCACCAATAACACCACCAATAGCAGGTGAGATATCGCTTCCACTACCACCGCTCTGCTGCGAAGCGCTCGCATCACCGTTGTTAACAAACGCTGCGCAAGAACCCGCCGTGTTACCACACTTGCCACACCACTCCTCCGTAGAGCTAATAGCAAACTCCTTGATCTTATCCTGGAAAGTAGACCAAGACACAGCGTTATCGCTGCCGCCAAAGAGGGGGTACACAGCCGGCTCGCTCGCGTTGCTCGCCGTGCCGTTGTGGAACAAAAATCGCACTTGCAAGTCGTCTCCGCTGGGGAATCCAGAGTCGACGTTGGCGTTGGTGAAGAGCTCAAAGACCATAGAGCTCGCGTAGTCGACGACGCCAGTGAAGTCGTCAGATACTTTGGGCAGGTCTGCGAGACCGAAGAAAGACATGAAGGTGGCGTAGGCGCCGAATTGGATGCCGAATTTCTTGGCGCCAGAGCTGCTGATGATGTTGTTCATGTAAGAGAGGACTTCTCCGGCGAGTTGCATGCCGGCGACTGCGCGCATGTTGTCGCTGGCGTTGTAGGCAAGACCCCATTCGTGGGCGTTGGCGAGGGTGGCGATTTGGTGGAGGGTGGTGTTGGTCAAGGTGTCGTTGTTGGGGATGGAGCTGTTGTGAATCTCAGCTACGTGGATGGTGTCGTAGACTGTGGTTACATGTTAGCTTGGATCATGGATCGATACAGGGTTAAGTGAAGACATACCAACGTAGGCGTTCTTGAACGTCACCTGATCATCGGCCATGACGCCGTTGATGGAGGGAATGAGGGAGGTGTAAAAGTCACCAGTGCTGGACGCAAGGTTCTTGTAGTCTGCACTGTCAAAATAGGAGTTTGAGCTCGTCTTTGCGTTTTGGCAGCTCGATGCATCTTGCAGCCAGCCGCTGTCCTCAGAGCCGGAGCCCGTCTCGATGGTGTTGACGGGGATGAGCTGGTAGCCATCCATTGGCGCCTGCACGCTCTGGCCATTGGCAAGCGTTGAGACAGTCTGGACCGGGGGGTACAGTCCCTGGAGGAAACCCATGGCCGAGTTCTGAAGAACGTTGTCGACAGGTGCTTGGACCTGGAGCTGAGACAGCTTGACCTCATCCTCGTTGATACCGCGGATCTTGGAGTCGCCGGACAGGTAACGTGAGCGGTAGTACTGGCCGGATGTGTAGACCTGCTCGTAACCGAGGGTAGTCAGGTTGGTGGGAGCAAGGGCCTTTGGAGTACGGTCACCATGGCGGTGGAAAATGTAAGCTCCAAGAACGGTCTCAGCTGCCTCGGCACCAGCGAGCATGGACAGAGCAGAAAGAGCAACAACAGACTTCATGGTGGGCAATTGATGTGAAAGCTTGTCAACGAAGGAAGCTATTCACAAGAGCGAATGAAGCAAGACGAACCCAGTGCAAAGCGGCGAAACTCACGAGGCAGAGGTGGGATGGAGAAAGCAGTAAACAGCGGACGTCAAGGCATGACTTATACCAGCTATCTTCGCTGCATGCCCCGCTGAGTAAAGGAAATCAGCTCCGGAGTAAACAATAGCAGCTAGATAGCAAGAGTAATCACGTCCAATCCGAACAATCTCCAGCCCATGGTATAGCGGGGCACACGCATCGTGCTTTCCGAATCTCGCAGCTCGGGAGGGGCAGGTAGTAAGTGGGGGTTAGAGCGACCCACCCGCCGTGACAAGCTTTTTCCGCGCAACAGGCATCTCTGACCAAGAGCGACAGTCTGCGTGAATAACTAACAGTCAGAATGACGATGGCTTATTCACCCCTCGCTGCCGTATAGTATCTCGCAGACGCCGCCGATTGGTACATCCATTACAGCGTCCGTCCCCGTGCTCCAGAACGCTTTCCAATCCACTTCTTCCGACGCGCTAAACTGATATGCCGAAAAAGAGCTTCGTCGACTGGGTGGTGCACTCGCTCTAGTACCTTTTTCCTTGTCTTTGTCGTGAAGTTTGTCGGTTACTAGCACCGGATCGCGTGCGATTTGCCCAGTCATGCGATCGACAACGGCTATCTGCGCGCATTCATCCACGAGGTTCTCACAGCTGCTTAGCGGTAGGGTGAGGTAGCGCGTGTTGTAGCTTGCTAGTGCAACATAGATGTAGATGACTAGCACGACCAGCCAGCACGGCACTGCGAGCGCCCACCACCGGTTAGGATAGTAGTGAATTCCCATCTGATGCAGCATGGGAGCTGGCACGTAGGCCCAGAGAATGTACATGAGGAAAGCGGCGGAGCTGCCTAGGTACAGGGCAAAGCCGTAATATTCATACGTAGGAACTTTCGGCGAGGCCCGGGGTACGGTCGGAGCATGCCGTGCCGAACTAGCGAGGTTCGTAGGCGTGCTTGTGCCTGTTGTATGCGAGCCTGCTCTTGTGTATCCTTCTACGTCGGACGAGTCTGGTGTGGTAGGCCTCGAGGTTGGGCGGCTGAATGCGGGGCGCAGGAGCGATGTCAATGAGGGCGACGGCGGGAGAGGGGTAGGCGGCCTGTTGTAGAAGGGCGGAAAGAGTGCAGTCGCGGTATGTTGAGGGAGGTGACTGTACGATTTAGATGTGTACAACGGTCGTGATGTAGGCGGTGGTTCCTCGTCGTCCTCTTCATCCTCGCTCGCTATATCCTCTACCGCGAACGAGTCTTCGTCTTCATCCTGATTGTCCTCTACAGACGCCGCCTCGGAGAGCGCGCTATTCGATATCGGCGACAAGGGACTTGCTCCTGGCCGGGTTGCGGAGCGTGGAGGGGATGCCACAGTGTGGTCATCGCGAGTTTGCCCATCGAATGACCCTAAAGTGGGTAGATTAGGCGTCGATTTGGAGTAGAACCCCGAAGGAGCAGAGTCCCCTCTACTATGGGGCGGCATGTCGTTAAGGTGTAGTTTGGCGCAAAGTCCAGACGTACCTCATGCACTTATCGCGTGCTTGAGCCTCTCAATTACGCGTTCGCGCTAGCGGAACGATTCCGCATCAATCTGCCTAATGGCATCTCACAATGTTCAAGGTCTGATAGTAAGTGCAGTATGATCTAGTACGAACAAGATCATCACGTGCGTGTGAAGAGTCCTGTAGTGCATCTTTGGCTCAGAATCTCCATGGCTCGATGCTTATCATGAGGCTATTTTGGCCTGTGTTTCGCATCGTCATACGCTGATAGCAGACACCAGTATTCCTGAACTTCTATGTCGATGGCTAAGGAAAGCCCGACAAAAACATTTCTCCGAGCTTACTAGTTGTATCGCTGTCACGATTTGAGACGAAGACATGAATGAGTCTGTGAGCCAAATGCGTCAATACAGCAGAGATGAAATGTCGGAAGGGGTGTAGTATAAGGGAACGTACCTGCTCTGCACTAAACAGAACCATCACGAGGCTTACCGTCGATCAGCTTGTCAAGAGATACGAATCGCGTATCATGTTCGTAAACTCGACGCTTGGTATTGTTCTTGACCGAGCGGCATTAGCTACATATTCCTTGGCGCTTGGCCAGAAAAAGTGCAGCCGCAGCTTGTCATCCTACCCTTGACCATGGCGATTTGGACTTTCTCTTCGCAAAACTCGCGACACTGCATAACATCATCGTCAAAATGTCTGTCCAGGGAGCGAACACTCTTCCAGTATCTTGGCGCTTACCTTGTTTACAGCCCTCATCTCCACTGTGCTGCTCAACGGCAGTGTCTCAAATCGCTCCAGTCATGTTTAGCAAGATGGCACCTGAATTCCCGGAGGAAACTCTCAAGCATGCTAGTATGAGCCTCATTCGGCACTCCACCTTGTCTTGGTCCACCGAATACCGCCATTGTCGTCTGGAGTGTTGTCCTCCAGTAGTTTACGGGCAATTGGAATTGTTTCGGCGACCCCTTCTTGGTACAACTCCGCTGCTTCGGAGACTCAGCCACTGCGCTCCGAGTCAGAGTCTCCATCGCTGATCTTTTGTTTTTGAGCACTTCAGCATGTCGCTCGTAAAGTCTCTGCAGACAGCACGCTCCACATTATTGAAGCGTCTGACTTTGTCGTGGCTATCAAGTTTGGCTGGTTCCATCTTGTCTTGTTCGGTTTTTGGTTCTATCTCACAAAGCTCAGTTGTACAGTTACGTACTACGCTAACATCAATGCCTAACTGATAAGAGGGTTTTGTCGCCTTTAGATCTTACTACTACCCAAGTAGCGCCGCGACAGTCTAAACGCGAGCTAGTCTCATATTGCTTCCTGTTTTGATCACCATCGGATCGCGAATCTGTAAAGAATAGGAGAGGCGATCTGCCTAGGGATAAAAGTTATCCCTGAAGTGATCGAATTGTCGATCAGTACCCTGACTGGTAAGGAGGACAACGCCCGGCTTGACTTCGGCTTAGTCATTGCCTAGACTGCACTGCTACTGCTGACAACGCTTATTCTCAACTTGGCCTTCTATCCAGACTTCGTTAGCTGGCCAAGTTCAAGGAGAAGTTGGACGGGCTTATGGTGGAAGGGAAAGTGCTTGGGAACAGCACTTTCAGGGTTACATTGTGACCGAGCATTACCCTTTGGGAGCAGTACGTATACGAGATTTTGAAAGGTTATGGACGACCATTGTCATAGCTTTTTGTCAATTCTGAGCAAAAGACAGTTGTAGTAGTGAGTTGGCAATGGAGTCCGGCGATAGGCTATACCATGAGATGGCCATTTCTGAGAGATCTTACGAGATGCCAAATATGTCAGCCAATCGTGCAGAATGACTATAGAATCGGGCTCGAGGTCCTGTTGTTTGGATGCTTGGCTTGTGAGAAAAGAAGACCCACACACGAGTAGCTACACCGCGATGTTGCACGGTACATTTCGCAGTACGCCGACGGAGATTCACTCGGTGCTGATCGCAACAGTACACAACTCATCCGGCACAGTATATACCTCATACAACTTACCCGACACGGTATAGACTCACACATCTTGCGAACAGTATAAGTATCACGGTCAGAGTCACTCGTTTTCTAATCAGCGCCTTCTGCATCATCATCTTTAGCCAACACTTTACTACCTTCATCTCACCCAAAGTATTCTCATACTTTCAGCCATCATGCGATTCTCCAAGATTAGCTGCTTGAGCGTTCTCGCTCTTGCGTCTTCGGCCATGGCCGCCGCTGACCCCGTCGTCAACGTCGAGGGATCGGTCGAGGTTGTCCCAGTGAGAATGACCAGCTGAAAACAATGGGTATTGCATAAGCTAACTCATGAAAAGGATGTCGTCGAGAAGAGACTTGCTCCTATCGCCATTGCGCTCATCAAGGTCATCGGAGGACAGCTTCTTGCAGGTGCTGCCAAGATCGCAGTCGACGCGACCAAGGCCCACCTTGAAGTTGAAAAGGCTGATTTCAACAACTTCGACGACGTAGGTCGATACTGCATATTTTTTTTTTGAATTTTGCTGACAACTCGCACTAGGCTCGTGAGGCTTTCACGAAATCATTGAGCAAAGATCTTTACGAGAAGAGAGTAGCTGGTGTGAGAGGTGTAGCTTGCTACAACGGCCCCTATGCTTTCAGCTCAGGTGCCTCCTACGAGGGCCCCGTTACTGTCAAGTTCGAATGGGACATGTACAACACTGAGTAAGTCTAGTGCTCTTTTGCTAGCTGGAGAAATCCCTTTCTAACAGTTCTCTACTAGCTACGACTGCTTCGAGATCAAGTCCGGTACCGCAATCAACAAGGGTGATGGAGGCTTCATCAACGTAAGTTTTACCTCAAATTCATATCAGACTTCGATACTAAGTAGTTTTTAGATTGCCTACTACGGCCAGTGCCAGCATGCTGGTGCTGAATACCGCTGCTAAGCGCATTCTTGCTTGAACCACTTTTTAGGCGATACCAGTAGCGGCAACCACATGGAATGGAGAGACTATAGTTCAGTTCAAGCGTCGAAATCAAACTTAGAAGCTCCTATGTTTTCATATCTTGAGAGCAGACAGTATAATGTTACAGTACAGTCATTCCCAACCGTTGCCCCGAATATAAACCAGTGACTGTTGACATACAGACCAGGCTTCCTCATACTGACTCGAACGCAATTCTACACACTTGTGAGGTGTGGTTCTTCGTTAAGGAATGAGGTTTGCGCCGCTCCTGATTAGGTCTAGCGCAGATCCAGCACATGCTTAGCACCTGAGCTGAGTTCTAAAGAAGTAGCTCTTTGACGCTCATCAAGCAATAACAGCAACCCCGAAAAACTGCGGCAAGTTCATCGTACAATTGAATGCTCGTCTTTCCAGTGGCAGTTCACACCGTGCGCTATCTTGATGACCTTGCGATCAAAGATGCGCGCGCCACGCCCATTCATGCTGGATTGACGCAGACCGCCGCGCTGCTCCGGATTTTCGCAACGCGAAGGATGCCCACGCAGTACTAGACAGCGCACGAGGGACATGGCGAGCGAAATGACCACATGAATGCAGGCTTCGACATGGTCATCTATAATGTGTATCTTTCCAAGGAGTCAGCGGAGTGCTCCAAGAGTCCGATTTACCATACCTACTTCTCATCGCCCAAGTTCCGCGGTCCGCAAAGTGGGCATCCCTCTGGACGAGGATCAATGCCACAAGCGTATACTCCCTTCTAATCCAAAAATATTGCGACGGTTGTGGTTGAAGTACTGCAGGTGTCCTCTCCACATCCAACACAGCTATCTCTGTCAGCATGGTCACTGTCGCAGTCCACTGGCGTAGGTACTCACGTTGCTTCTTAGCGCGCAGTCGTCTCTGGCGAAGCAGATATGCAGCGAGCATGATGAATATAGGCGTGCAGCTTGCGAAGAGGGCGAGCACGGAAATTGTGTTATCTTTTGACCAACTCATCGTAGGAGGTGCGTGTTGTCAAGTCGTCAAGGTAAGTATGATTGTTGGTGTGCTGCTTTACAGCGGTCTTTAGCGTCGAACATATCTACGACGAGAAAAGCAGATTTCCAAGAGAGAATTCATGTTTCGAATTTCGAAGGCGATGTCAAGATTTCGAGGTTTCGAGATTTCGGGATTTCAGTCCGGCGTCGTAAGGCTTGGTCGCGTGGAACCAGAATTTGAATTCAGATTTGAACAATGCAGCTGGACAAAACAGATTGTATACAGACGCACGCGCCAAGGGAATCTAATGCGCTGGCAAGATATCCAGATTTGAGCCTCGCATCATGAACAAATGATGCTTAGAATTTCGGATTCTGATTCAGGGGAGGTCAAGCGTGTTAAAATCTGGTTTGGGCGAGGCTGAAAGTGCTGAAATCTGATTTCGGCGGGCGCAGTCGTGACGATTACGACAAACCAGCCACACGAGCAGGCTTCAAATCAGATTTTGTCTTATGGGGTTGCATACAGTCGTAAGCATTCTAGGCTGCATTGGGTCACCATGCATGAGTTGGGTGGCTGAATTCAGATTACGAACGCCACTGGGCAGTGACATCACGTGCGTTCTCACAATAGACGCAGATACCCCGCCTTCAGCCTGATGCCAAACATCATCTTTCTTAATAAATTTGATAGCTCTGCTCTTGCGAAAACCTCTATATCATCAAGATCTTCGCATTTGCATTACAAATTTTCTCGTCGAACGTAGCGATGACTGATAATAAGTACTCACAGCGTATCCCGAGGCGGACGTGGGACACACACAAGGACAATATCTTGCGCTTATACGTCTCAGAAAACAGGCCATTGATCGCAGTAAAGGATATAATGCACGCTGAATACGGTTTTTCGGCAACGTAAGTCCATTCCAAAGCACCTGTTCACCACCTATTGGTTATGAGTGGCTTGTATTGATCTGTGGGTAGTAAATCCCAATACGAGACAAGGCTGAAGAAATGGAGTTGCTATAAGTATGCAGCTGCACATGATCGCCGCAATAGAGCACCAGTGATTGAAAATCAGACAACGGAGAGTCTGGTAACAGAGCGACACACACGACGGCCTGAGATCGAGGCCTCCCTTGGAAGTAAGAGGCACAGGAACTCCCAAATCTTGCATTTTAATAATCATTTTACATAGGTCATTCATCGTCAAGGAGCCTTCCGATCCGGACCCCTTCCCCACAACTGTCCATCCTCCAGCCTTCCCCGCCAAATCACCTCTCCCCCAACATTTTGTTGGGCTTAGCCGACTGCTGGCACGACTTGACATCGCTGTCTATGCATAGCATCGATCTACAATCGTCCACATTCCAGCGCGAATCGGAATTACTCGTCCCCCCAAACCCCACATGGCCTTCGAACATAGCCATGGCTGCAAATGATCTGTTATCCGAAGACTCAGACAATCTATCTTTCTCTTCACACGCGACCTACGCTCGTAGTTTCATTAGACAGAACGATGTTAGATCCGCCAATTTGGACAGCTTTCCGGGCGACTCCACACCACGCGAAACAATACATCCATGCGGATTCTCTATACCTGACTTCGCAACCTCAATGTTTCCAGTCATTTCACGCATGTTTCCAAGAGCAGTATCTTCCCCTCAGCTGGTCATACTTGGAAACAGCAATGCATTTGAATCTGCACTCAAAAACATGTCCCATCCTAGTACGCTACAGTTCGTCCATCAGCAAAGCATTGATCATCAGATCATCTATATGATCTTTCATCGACTGGTCAATGATAGCGATGCTATCCAGATACTCGAAGATCCTAAGACAGAGCTCGACCAAATTTTCAAGACAGGCGTGATACATTGCTTCTCCCTTGGGAAACGTGGTCTTAGCAGTCTTATCAGTTCTACTCCGTTGTCCTTTATCCCAGCCTTAACGCAGAACATATTCCGTGCGGCGCTAGTCCTGGGTAATGGAGAAATCTTGAGATACATTTTGGAAATGAATCGAGCGAGTTTCGCCAACCAATCGTTCTTTCTTGGAGGCGCTGAGTACTACCCATTGGAGTACGCGTGTCAGAAAGGGCACATTCAAACAACAAAAGCGCTGCTTGATCATAGTGCTGACCCTAATTGGCAAACACCTGTTTATGGTCGTGCTCCTCTGACAGTCATTCTGGGAGTGCCATCGGAAAACACAGACCGCCAAACAGGAGTCCAGATTCTTCGGCTATTGATCGATCATGGCTTAGAACCCCAGCCTAAGGAATTTGTAATGAGAATACACAATTTCAACAAGGATGAATTGTTGATCTTAGCTACGCATTGCCTGGACAAGAGCTTCGAAACCTTCATTGAATACTACGGTCTACCAGTACTTCTGTTGGAACCAGCGTGGGATGATCCTTTCTCCAAGACATTAAAAGCTATTTTGGATCTGGCGTTCTTGGAATTGGGTGGTCGGAGAACGATCTGGGACTCAGTGTTGTCAGACTCGCTCTCTGCTGCTATACTACGCAGCCGTGCGTCGGCAGTCGATACATTGCTTTCTATGGGCGCCACTCCAGACATACACTGCTTGATCAGTGCTGCTCAAAGTAATGATGTGCATGTGCTCAAAGACATTCTGAGCCGTGGCCTGGACCCCAATACAGTGGCGCCGACTCCGATTGATAGGACTGGTCCTGACATTTATTATCTTGCAAACTGGAAACGAGAGCGGGATTGTACTGCGCTTAGTGAGTCTATTGTGAATCGGTCCAGAGGAGCGTTTCAAGTACTCTATGAGCAAGGATTCGTCTCGAGTGTATCCAATCGACCGATCGGATTTGCTTCAGCCTTCGTAGCCGCGTGTCAAGTTGGTGACAGCATACTGATTCAGCAGTTTTTGTCAATGCCAAACTTCCCGCGTAGGCAGCCCAAATTAGAGCAAGCAATCAAAGCTGCAATAGACGGAGACCAATATCACATCGTGGAAAAGCTCCTGTCTGTGGGTATGAAGCCAAGCTTGAGGAGCTTGGAATTGGCATTCCAGAAAAGGAAATTGACAACTGCCATCCTCTTGGCCAGATACATGAGCGATGCTGTGTCTTCCGGAGTGGGTCCAGATGTACAAAAAGTCACAATACTCTGGGAAGCTCTACGATGGGGCGATCAAACAGCTATCGAGCTTGTACTCAAGATGGGGCATCCCGTCAATGTGTGCGATCAATTGAGGGAAGGAACGTTCAAGGATTGGGACTTACTGCCAGAAATTCGAGCGCCTGACAATTCTCGACCCTGGAGATATACACCTCTTAGTGCTGTCATCCTAGCCAGGAACACTACTGCAGTGAAAACTTTGATGGCTTACGGTGCACACTCTGTGTGTTTCAGCGCGCATGATACATCTCATAAGTTCGCCTACTCGCATTATATAGACCTCGAGGAGCAAGGATGGATTTTGACGCCGCTAGCTGCTGCTATTGTCACAAATGACCTTCATCTGATTAGCGAGATCTTGCGCATAGGAGCAGATCCCTTCGATAACAGCGCTCTTTTCGTATGCGCTATGATTGACTCTCAAGACGAGGTCGTCGCGCTACTGCTCTCTGCTTTCAGGACCCGATATCCAGATGGAGCGCGATCATTCGGGTCGGACGCACTATACCAGACCATAAGACGTGGTAATGCGCGGCTGCTCCGACTACTCGCTAAAGATGTTAATCTTATTGGACGAGTTAAGAAGCATCGCAAACCTAATTTCGACCGGTTTCATATGACGCAGGATACTGTGTACACGAGTCCTTTGGGTGAAGCAGTGCGTCGTCATGCTGACAGCGAGAGTGCTGGCGGTATGCTCGATTATCTTCTACCCTTGGTTCAGGACCACGACGTTATCGTACACAAATCATACAAGCATGGTGCCATGACTCCCCTGCTTTTCGCGATCTCTTTGGATTCATTGGCAACCGTCCGGAAGCTGCATCAGGCTGGCGCAAACATATCCTTACCAGCCGAGTGGCTAATTGACCGAACACCACTACAAGCAGCATCAAGAGCCGGAAGTAAAGACATTGTCGAATACCTCATTCGTGAAGGCGTCGATCCAAACGAACCGCCAGCAGTCCACGCTGGAGCGACAGCCATCCAACTAGCCGCAATCACTGGAAAAATTGGCGTAGCGACGGTTCTGCTGGATGCTGGAGCTGACATAAACGCACCACCAGCCTTTTGCGACGGCAGAACCGCCTTCGAGGGGGCCGCAGAACATGGACGTATTGAGATGATGATCTTTCTCGTCAGTCGAGGGGCAGATCTTACCTCGAATGGGAGTGTACAATATCGGCGAGCTGTTGAGTTTGCAAAGGACAATGCACAGCATGCTGCAAGAAAGCTCGCGGATGACTTGTATGCGAAGGTTTCGACGAGTCAAGGACCGAGCTTCATTGATATGGGTGTGGACGCGTGGGCTGGGGTTGGTGCGAACAGCTTTGAGAGTTTTTTGTAGTGATGGCATCCACATTTCCTTTACTCCTTTGTCAATGTAGAATAGAACAAATGTCTCCGGAGTAGATATAGGTTTCCTTGGTAGAAAACTGCCCGTTTTCAACGTTCTGTAACACCAGAGATTCGAGATCTATATAGACTTGTTTGCTGGTCAGCCATATGACTTGCTTACCTCTCGCTTACAGGCTTCATTAAGTTGAACATCACCATCAACATGTGTATCACGAAAAGCATCCACAGTCCTCGGTAGATCGAACACAATGCTATTGTCACGAATCTACGCTTAACCAACCAGCCATCTACAGCTTACTCGCCTCCCCACTCGTCCTGTTAAGGTACAACGGATCCCTCGGCTCAATACCATACTTCCTGCATAACTCCTCACCCTTCTTCTGCTGCGCCTCAATCCTCTGCTTATGCGCCAGTCCCCTCTTATTCTCATTCTTACCCAGCTGCAACAGATGCACCTCATCCGGCCCATCCACAATCCTCATCGTACGACCACTCGACCACATCTGCGCGAGCGGCGTATCCTGACTAACACCCGCACCACCGTAAGCCTGCATCGCCCAGTCGATAACCTTGAGGTTAACTTCGGGAACAAGGACCTTGACTTCTGCAATCTCCTTGAGCGCGCCCTTTGCATTCGTCTCGTCAATCTTGATAGCAGCGTTCAAGACGGCAAGACGCGCGGCATCGATTTCGATGCGGGAGCGAGCGACGCGCTCGAGCATGATGCCGTGCTTGTTGAGCAGCTGGCCAAACGGCTTCTTGCGTTCGTCGTTGATGCGCGCCAGGAACCATTCTAGCGCCTTCTCGGCAGATCCGATGCTGCGCATGGCGTGGTGGATACGGCCGGGTCCAAGACGGCCTTGGATGATTTCGAAACCGCGGCCCTCGCCGAGCACCATGTTGCTGGCGGGGACACGGACGTTCTCAAAGGTAACGTGGCCGTGGCCGTGGGGCGCGTCGTCGAAACCCATGACTGAGAGCATGCGGTGGATCGTCACACCGGGTGTGTCGTTGGGGACGAGGATGACGGATTGCTGCTTGTATTTGTCAGAGTTGTTGGGGTCTGTCTTTCCGAGGACGATGAAGATCTTGCAGCGAGGATCGCCAATGCCTGATGACCACCATTTCTGGAGAGATGTTAGTGGGGTGGAGGATAGGGTGGGTCGAAGGTAGACTGACCTGGCCGTTCAAGACGTAGTGGTCGCCGTCCTTCTTGATGGTCATCTCAATGTTAGTAGCATCACTCGACGCAACCTGGGGCTCCGTCATCAAGAACGCAGACCTGATCTTGCCCTGGAGCAGCGGGTCCAGCCACTTCCTCTTCTGTGCCTCGGTACCGTACTTGGCAATGACCTCCATGTTGCCGGTATCAGGAGCAGCGCAGTTGACAGCCTCAGACGCTGTCCTGCTCTTGCCCAGGTACTCAGCCATGAGTCCGTACTCCAAGTTACTGAAACCAGCACCCTCCTTGAAGTGTGCCTTGGGCAGGAACATGTTCCACAGTCCGAGTTCTTGTGCCCGCTTCTTCAAGTCCTCGATTATGGATGGATGTGACGAAAAGCGCTCTTGGACTGTCTGGCCGATCTGGCGCACGTAAACAGCGTCGGCGGGGATGCATTCTTCCTCGACAAACTTCTCTACCTATGCAGACGTTAGCATACTATGTGATGTAGCTTGGAGGGCATCTCACGATATCGAGAGTCTTCGCCGCTCTCTCGCTGACGAATGGCCGCGCGATGGCGGGAATGCGCTGAGAGGCGGAAACATGGCCATTCTGGCTGTTGCTCAGCAAGTCCATGGCGCGGTCGTACGGTACAGACATGATTGCTGTCTATAAATGTGAGTATGAGGTAGGGAGGAAGTTCAGGAAGGAAATCCGGGGTAGTTTAACAAAAGATGCGGAGACGAGTCGTCCATGGCTACTGCTTCGGTCATTGACGTTGGGGAGCTAAGAGTTGCCGAGGTACGATCTGGAACATCTCCGCTTTGGACCTCGTAATCAGCCAGACTCACACCACGAAGGCATGATACTTTGCCGATGGGAAATGCACTCCAGGAAAACACGTCCTTGACCGAGGCATTAATGGAGTGATGGTGTTGAAGGTGTTGCAGTTGTACTTGGCGATGGGTGCGCCATGAACGCGACGCCGCCGTTACGCGTGGCGCGCTTTGTTCAACCTCCCAACGAGACGTGAAGCCTTATATGTATAAAGAAGATAATTATGGTTCACCTAATGAAGCTATAAAACATTGCAACGCTCGTGATGCAGAATATCAACGTGGACACTGCCTCCATAGGCAACTGGTCGAATTATCTTGACATAGTACCTACAAGGCGTCCAGTCGAGCAACCGACTGTGATTCAGCTTGTACACCAGAACCTCCAATTCGGTATTACCAAAAATGCCGCAGCTTCCGAGACTACCACGCGAGCTTATCGGCCTCATAATCTCATCACTCATCGCCCTTTATGACCACGACCCAGCCTACCAATTGACATACCTACGCCATATAACGCGCCACCACAAAGCACATCTTGAGCAACACTTCCTCAACTTTTGGGTTCCCAAGCTGTCAATCGAAACCGGGGACTATCACCGCTCACCTGCCTCTGCCGAATTCCAAGCTCTCAATCAACCTTGGAATGGTGCCTATTCAGCGGCAGCCTGCTCCAGCGCTTTCCGATCACACTCGCAAACAGCCTCACGCTCAACTTTCTTGCCCTTGTTGAGGTGCGCGTGCTGCTTGAAGCCATCCCTTCGTTCGGGGCTCCAGGCTGCCGCGTCTTTGCCGACATACGACCAGAGCTTTACCAGAAGGAATGAGGCTGCAGACACCATAACCTTTACAGAGATGTGGGGTCTTCGTCTATTGGACGTGCCACAAGGCTGACCAGAGGAAGCTAGAAGATCAATTGACAGAAAGCCATGGGAGCAATTCGACTTGAACGTCATTGTGCGGTTCAGCGAAGGTACACTGAATAAACGCTATACAAAAGGCGGTATGAGGAACGACATCATCATCCCCGGATTTTCGATCAATGTTGATACCTCGCCCTGGGAATTCTCATTTGATTGGAAAGCGCTCTTTACCCGGCTCTTCACTGAAGAAATGGCCATGCGGACGCTTCGGGACAAGCTTCTCGAGGCATTCGTCCTGATCTTGGAAGAAGAGAATATGAGTCCAGAGCTGAGGAGATCAGCTATTCACCGTCACCTGCGTAACCACTTCTATGACCAACGGAGGACTGTGCTTGCCGCTTACCGTTGGTACAAGTATTCTCCCAAAGACAATGAACATGACAGTGCCAGATATTCTTGCAGCCTCGAACAAGGCCGTGGACGATTTGCTGGATTACATTCTGAAGGGCAGTGAGTCTGTGGGCATGTTCGGTGCGACCGACAGTACGCTGTCGCGACGACGGCAGATCATGGAGTGGATACGAGATCGTGCTGGACCAGGACTCGACGTTTTATTCGTCGAGAGCGACCCTTTGACTTCACACCCTATGTTTACAGAGGCGGAGAGAAGCTTTACGGTGATCAATTTGATCATTTTGATGAGCTCGACATCGAAGAGAGTATGGTGTTTCAAATCCCCAATTGGGAGTCTTTAGCTATACGCGACATGTTGCAGCTGCGTGTAGGCGAAGACATGGTTGAAGAGCACTCCATTTAGCCGGAAGATGTGTACGGAAATTCCAATCAAATACACGGGTTCCTTTGTAAGGAGTACTATGAGGGTCATTTCAAAGAAGGAAAGGAAAGGCACCCGGCCAGTAACGCAGTGCTCGAGAAGCGTTTAAGAGAGGGTGAAGACCTGGATCTCGAGGTGTTTTGGCCTTGATAAGTAGAAAGGTGATGCAATATATCGAGTAATAGGGAGATTCCAGAATCTCTCTGTCTCTCCCTGCACGTTATGCTTATCGTGTCTAGCATGCTGCGGTTGACATGGATGCCCGCATGCCATGGGATATTCTTGGGAGATCATTGGTTGAGCATATACTGAACTGAAAGAGGGAGATAATACACGTTACCGATCATTGGCAGAGACAAAATAGTTAGTGTCGATCTCGACGTCCGAAGTGTTTTTCCATTGGTGAGATCCAATTTACGACGTTGAGTTTCCAACGTAAGTGACAAGGTGAAAAGGATGCTACCAAGTACGACTTGTGATGCAGATGGGCCAGTAACGTCAACATACAACGCGATGCTAAAACGTTGCTCAAACCGTTCTACCGGGCTTCAAGCTGCGGAAGGATTGCTTCTTGTGGGTCGGCTTGAACGGGGAAATCGTAGAACATGGGGCGAAGTATTTCGTGTACCTGTTTCGATGATAAGAGCGCCCAGACTGTGTTCTAGTCGTTATAGCTGAATGATGAGCGGTTGTAGCTAGAACCCTTAGGGGCTGGACAATGAATGCTCGTGGCTTTGCTGAGGGATGCGCATTACGATCATATCGATCTGAGGTTCTGTTGTGTAGGCTGACCAAGATACACCAGAAGGTGTTGCACCCACTAGCGGTGGCGTATGATGGTACCAGATGAAGCAAGTGTCAGTTATGTACGTACTTGACCATTGACAGACTGGTATCATCCGTCCGGGTAGCCGCTGGGTTGCTGGCTCTACGTCGACTCGGATGAGAGCATGAGATGTGTGCGCTGAGCCGTGACGATGTAACCACGACACCAAGATGCACTACAACGAATTGCAACGTGACAGCTGTAGATAAGCGTCGCGAGCTCCCCGGCCGATGTCGGTAACTGTACATCGAGTGTGGTACAACCACCGTGCATCCTCCATTGTCTTCATCTAAATGGAGCATGTCAATTCCGTGCTGCAGGAGAGCGCGCTATCAGGAAGGAAATCTCCGAGTGTTCGACGGCATAGGCGGGTCGGCATAGTCCGGTCGTTGGGTGTGACGAGTCGGACGGGTACCCCGTAAGGCTGAAATGTGTATGCGTGCGTTGCTCGAAGTAGAACAGAAGCAAATATTGGCGTCTCTTGGGTCGTCTGGTACCTAAGGGTCAGCAAGCGAATAAAGCGCTGACATCTGGGCCTGCGTCCTTTTGTTCGTCACTCTACGTGTGTAGCTTCCGCCACCAGATCTGAGACAGAGCGGGAGGCTTCGTCGCACGAGGTCGCTGCGCACCAATGTAGTGCTCCAGGGGCTTCATGATCTACAATCTACCACAGTCTATAATCTATTTACTATATCCGGGACGGTTGGGATAGTGATGAGCTTGGGTAAGAGGTCAAGAGTGACGAAGTACAGGAACAGCATACTCGTGACTCGCCTCACGCTGGGACGAGAACCAGTCTGTCGGTAGCAGTATAGTGCTAGTAATGACGGTGATGGTGGGTCTCATGGCTATTGTAAAGGTTATGCAGCCGTCTGCAGCGGCTGGGAATATCGTCCTCAAAAGGCCTGCAGTCACATGATGAAAGCCAATAGGGTGGGTCGGATTTCCGAACGGCAATGCTTACTGCAGGTTGACGTATGAGCGGCCAGTCGGGCATCGATGGTGTAGCTCGACTAGCTTACCCACACAGCAAGCGCCAAATGCAAAATCTGTAGTAACTGTTTCAGCCCGATTTGTCTCAGTAGCCTGCAGTAGACATGGTCGTGATTTCAATTCACATCAAAGGCATGGCTGTTGGCGCGACTGGACCATATTGCGCGCGCGACTTGCACGTGCCTTGCAGCACCAAGTGCGGGAAAGGCGAAGAGGGGAACACAAGCGTCATGAATAGTTTGCAACGATGTCGGTTCCTGCAAGTGTCGCCCGTTTGGGTCTAAAGGCGTGTGTGCAACCCGCACCGAGCAGTGGTTCACACCGGCCAGTGGGCCCTTGACATGCTCGGACAGCGGTGTCGTTGACTTGGACCGCTTCCGCTTGTCGCAGCAGCCGGTCAAGATGGAAGGGGTACAGACGGTGGAGTGGCACTTGACGAGACGAGAATGGCATGGTGAGGTTAAGGGCTGGGCGGCTGTGAGAGGATATGCACCACAATAACACGCCACGCCTCTGGGTCGCCCGGACATTCGGCTGTAGACGAAGAGGGGGGCGCCAGGACCAGGGCGTGAGAGAACATCAGCTGCCCTCCAAGTGGAGCTGCAGGCCACGAGGGCGTGGCCGGGGCCTCGACAATAATGACGATGGGCTGGAAGCAGCAAAACGAGGCGGCAGTGGGATTTGGTTTTGCTGCAAGCTGCAAGGGTGAGAGGGCAAAGTTTGAAAAAGACATGTTGTTGAGTCGGACTTGAGCCTCTGCAACGCCAGTCGGAAGACTTTTTGCGGCTACGGACCCCTGTACTCGCGAGTGTCATGGTACGTCGTCGTCGAATGTGCGGCGGCGGCGGCTTTGATTGACGGGCTGTGGTGCAAACAAAGACAAGGTTGTGGTTGCTCGAACTGCGTGCTGCATGAAATTGCTGCCGCGGGCGCTCAGGCGTCCGTAGCATCGAATTGGCTGACGTTGTCGAGCATTCGCGGAGTGTTGAGGGAGACTCGCTAGAGGCGTCGTGGGCCCTGTGGGTAGGGTTTTGCTCAGGCCATGGTAACGGCCTCAATGGGCTGCCAACGTCTCAATGGGAACGGTTGTCGCATGTCAAACGGAGCATCAGAGGCAGCTACTCACTAATGGGCGCGCGCAACCTATCGCTGGCGAGCCATTCGGGGCTCGTACTGCCAGGTTGGTATAAGCATGGCAAGCTCCAGCGATGATTGGAGTGCGTCTCAGCCACGCGCCAGCGAGCAAGTGGGTGCAGCTCATTTCAGGCGGCATGACGGCGTGCTGGGAAGAAATCTGATGCCTCACGTGCAGGCCGGCGTCCGCAGCTGCAGACGCAATGGTCATGTTGAATGTTCGTGGTGTCGTCTGTTAGAGTCTGGCTGGGCCAGCAGTGATAAACACGTCTGATGTCGTGTGTGCCAGAGCGAAGCCGCGACTGCTGACGCCTCTGTTTCAAGCAACAACGATCCGCAGGCTCCTGCCTCCGCAATACACCAGCAGCCTTGTGTACCTAATATAAGGCTCCACGAGCATTTCTCATCTGCATTGCATCCCATCCCGCCGACTTGCTGCAGGTCCATAATTCCTGCACCGGGCTACTACCGTACGTTCAAGGTCTGCCAGCTTAGACGCCGCTCGACTGGCCTGCGCTGACAAGTACGTGAATTGCAGGCCTTCTGATCACGTTGGCACCCAATTTCGCACTAGCAGTGCCCCGCCCTTAATCCCCAGCACTGCCGTCACTCAACCCCATCGTCGCCTTTCCTCGCACCTTCACAAGCTCTCCATCTCCGCCGTCAATTATCCTTCACCCTCCCCTTTCCACCTGCTGCTGTGACCTTTGCCCGACCATCGTTGCTGAGCGGTCCCCCTGCGCCTTCCTTGTTCCTTAGCTCCGTCAGCCACAAGAAGCGTCACCTGGTACTGCACAGACGGCACGCGGGACCACGCCCTCTTGACACTCGACCTCGCGCCTACAACCTTATCCACTACGCCTCTGCTCCGCCAAACTCGACTCTGCACCCACCCCCTTGCTCCCAACACCAAAGCCTCCTCCTCACCAGCAATCCGCGCATCGCTTGCGGACCCCCTCCCTCACGCATAACCCCAAACAATGAGCCAGAACCGGCCATCGGCCTTCTCATCGCTAAGAATGGGTGGTCAGTCTCCCCCTTGCACCCACGGCGTAATTGATGTCATGCTCACAATCCCACAGAAGTTATCCGCGAAAAGGTCCAGGACGGCCTGACAGGCGACTACAAAGACCTCGCATACACGCAGTGCAAGATTGTCGGCAACGGCTCTTTCGGTGTAGTCTTTCAGACGAAGCTGTCGCCCAGTGGTGAAGATGCGGCCATCAAGCGTGTCCTGCAAGACAAGCGCTTCAAGGTGCGTTTGCGCGACACACGCCAAAATACACAGCCTCAGCTGACCCCCCAAACAGAACCGCGAACTCCAGATCATGCGCATTGTCCGACATCCCAACATTGTCGAGCTCAAGGCCTTCTTCTACAACAATGGCGAGCGGGTATGTGTCTGCAAGCAAGCGCGTGCGTGCATTTCGTGTAGCTAACCGTTTCAGCCACAGAAAGACGAGGTGTACCTGAATCTCGTGCTCGAGTTTGTTCCTGAGACCGTGTACCGTGCTTCGCGCTATTTCAACAAGATGAAGTCGGTTATGCCCATCCTCGAAGTCAAGCTGTACATCTACCAGCTCTTCCGCTCGCTCGCCTACATTCACTCGCAGGGTATCTGCCACAGGGACATTAAGCCCCAAAACCTACTGCTAGACCCTTCAACCGGAGTCCTCAAGCTCTGCGATTTCGGAAGCGCCAAGATCCTGGTTGAGAACGAGCCGAACGTGTCCTACATCTGCTCCAGGTACTACCGCGCGCCTGAGCTGATTTTTGGAGCCACAAACTACACCACCAAGATCGGTACGTTGGTTCTGTTGTAACTGGGAGTAGCCACATGCTAATCTTCTGCAGATGTGTGGTCCACAGGTTGCGTCATGGCAGAGTTGATGCTTGGACAGCCATTGTTCCCGGGCGAGTCGGGCATTGACCAGCTCGTAGAGATCATTAAGGTCTTGGGAACGCCTACCCGAGACCAGATCCGCACCATGAACCCCAACTACATGGAGCACAAGTTCCCGCAGATTAAGCCTCATCCGTTCAGTAAGGTATGTCGAGCAATTTATCGCCAGCCGCTGCGTACATCCACTTACATTCACCAGGTGTTCCGAAAGGCTGATCCCAACGCGATCGATCTGATCTCCAAACTGCTCGAGTACACGCCTACCCAGCGTCTTTCCGCTATTGATGCCATGGTACACCCCTTCTTCGATGAGTTGAGGGATCCAAGCACACGCTTGCCAGACTCGCGTCACCCCAACGGAGCGACTCGTGATCTGCCTGAGCTGTACAACTTTACTCACCACGGTATGTCTTGTTGAACCTGCGACAGGCACAGAGTCTAACTAGTCTAGAACTTTCCATTGCTCCTCACCTCAACAATCAGCTGGTACCGCAGCACATCCGCGCGACACTGGCCGCACGTGGCCTCGACTTCGAATCGCCGAACTTCAAGCCATTAACGCGGGATCAGATGATAGCAAGGCTAGATTAAGCCCCTGCTATCACACGAAACGATACCATTCATTCATGCGGCGGCTTCTGATCCTCTCTGGGCCTAAGCGCAAAGCTTTTCCGTCCGGAGAGATGCAAAATGGAGTCTCAAATGGGCGTCGGTTTTATCAGGTGTATACTACGAGGAGCACACCCTTTCCTGCTTTATCTGAGCGCGTCTGAAATGATACCGACATTCACCTTTACAAAGAATGACCTGGCTTGCTTTTCTTTTGGTGGCCAATGGCCTGCCCGTTTACGCGAAATGATCATGGACCGGCACCGCAAATGATGTTCCTCGATCCCCTTTTGAGATGACGAATGGGCGCAGAAGGTTGCAACTATGACGGGAATGGGGAACGGGCAAAATCCGGACATGCACTGAGTATGGGATACAGGGAGAGGGTCTCACTCATCCAATTTCCGACGCTTCAACAGTGGTTACGATGCGTCACCTGGGTTGCATGCGGGAGTTTTCTTTTTGTTCAAGATGAGTTCGGCGGGCTGCACATCGGGCGATGAAGCTTCTATGAACTTGGGAAATGCTATTCCTGTAATGGGGACCATGCAGGCTGGGCAAAGGATGGCCAGCCTGGGCAAGCACTAGAGCAAGGCACTGCACTTTTGCAGCGGAACGAATGTCTACTGGCCAATGACTATGATGCCATTCGCCCACCTCTCAGCATACTTTCTAGAACGAAGACTTCTTTCATGTTCCTCCATGTATATTGGATTGTGTGACATCCAAGTGATGCATTTTGCGTGATGGAAGTGACGCATATTTCCTGGCAATTGCAGTACCAAATACTCCAAGAACCTGAACATCCTTCGACAGACATGTGAAGAAGTAGAATTGTATGTGTCCATCACCTCATGCCTTTACATGAAGTCGCAATACATGTAGCTCTATTGTTGTACGCAGTTTGCCTTTACTCGAAGCTTCACCTTGGTGACGCTCCCTCTTACTGTCCCGTACCTAGGACGTTGTTCAGATCTTCCCCCGCAACCTTTCTATAAAGTGCCACACGATCGGCTTGTCAAATACGCCACCAGGTAACGGTCAATACAAGACAAGCTACGAACAATACCAAGATGATTGACTTGGATGTGAATACCGAGTTCATCTCGCCAGACCGGATGGCTATGCTCAAATTGACAGATGAAGAACCACAGCTAGATTTACTCCATGACATGTCACCCTTTAATGATTCGTCGATGGACGTCGACGTCGACGGTGCATGGACCGAGCGCCAAGGTACGGGCGCAGATGCCGCTAACCCTTTCGATACGCAAGCTCCAGCGCGCCATCTCGACGATTCACTATCGCGAACCATCCGCCAACATCGCAATCGAACCGCCCCATTCCGAAAACGCACATTTGATCACCGGCGTGGTGACTTGCATCCACCGTATAGGCCTGTAAACTGCGACAGCGACGACTCTCGCGCTGACCGTGCCTGGATTCAATTGCATCAGAGGGAAGATTCTCCGGAAACGTTAGAAGAAAAGGCACGCGCAATCTTGGTCGCGGACATGGCGGACGCAGACTTCAAGGAAGAGCGCGAGGATAGGCGCGAGGACCGACGTGACGACAGGCGCGACCGTGGAAACTATCGAGGAAACAACAAGCGCCGTCGTGATGGTGAGTACACATGCATCCTCTCCCAAACGATTGCGCAAGCTGCATATGCGGTTTGGACGACTTGATGATTCTATCGCTATTATGGCACTCTATATGCACATGGGATCCGCCCTCACCATCTTGCTTTGGGGCGTGGTCAATTACCTATTTCTACGATTTCTACGATACTTACAGCGTCCCGCAGATGACAACGACAATCACTACCGCGGTGACGACCGTCGCGGACCCCAGCGCCGCCGTAACGACGATGGCCCTCGTCGCCGATATGAAGAACCGCCGTTCCCCAAACTGCGTAGACTGCTCTTGAACATTGCAAGCTCCACCAAGCTACCCCAGGACGAGGCTATCGAGATCGCAAAGTTCTTTGGAGAGCACTTTGACGACGAGCGTCTTCGCTCCGACTTCTTCGATGTCTTTGTACAGCTGTAAGCACTATCAGTTTGTCCTGGATTGCCCATCTCACTAACTGCCATAGTGTCATCGAGCAGCCCTTCAAAATCCCATTCGTCGCAGCCGTCGCCTACTACGCCAACGATGTTAACTCACAAATCACTATCGAGGCCATGAAGCGCGTTGGAGACCGGGCACAAGAAGCGCTGAACGCTGGCGAGTGGAAAGAGTTCAAGCTGCTTCTGAGGTTCTTCGCTTGCCTACAGTCGCTCTACGAAGAAGATGGTGTCTTCACTTTCCTCGGACAACTCTTCGACACAGTCGTTGATCTCCAGAGTGCCAACGAGAACGATGTAAGGTCTACATGCACTCAGCTATCACACCCACTGACATTACTAGGTTGTCGGTATCGAACTGGTCAAGATCATTCTTCTTACCATTCCTTACGCCATCGTCGCTGGAGGAGAGCGTTTCCACGAGCAAGCACAACAACTGTTGAAAAACACTGGCATAGTAGCGAGCAACGCGGTTCCCATTGAAAGCCTCATTCACTCCTACGTCGGCGATTTCGAATCGAAGCCGGTTGACCACCACAGCGTTATTGGCCTACTTCAAGCACAGCTATCAGCTGAGGCTGAGTCTGGCTTTGAACTGAGGTGCATTCCACGTATCGACAAGGACGCTCTACGTAGGATGAACACTGAGGAAGACGCTCTCCCCACGGCCCCTCAGACTCATGCCTTTCCTACTTTCACCATCCCATCGCCAGTCAACCCTGGCCCGCGGCCGGTCTTCCCAGAGGCATACTTCTCCTTGTTCGCCGATCAGGAAGTTGACACCGTACCCAAGACCACAGACATCGCGTCATCGCTCGTTCGAGATGCCATCGTTGACACCATCAACCAGCTTGACTTTAACCGTGAAATGGTCGCAAAGTTCCTTGTAGACGTCGATTGCTACTGGTCTGTTGACATTTTCGCTAAACGCGGCTCACCCTTTGACAAGTTCCGCGAGTTGGTTGGCGACAAGGTTCAGTACAAGTCGGAAGACATGATCATCGACGCTATCTTTTCGCAACTGTTCAAGCTGCCGAGTGCAGAGCACAAGCTCGTCTACTACCACGCACTTATCACACAGTGCTGCAAGGTCGCGCCCGCTGCGATCGCGCCCTCCCTTGGACGTGCTATCCGTACCATCTACAAGAACTTGCCTATGATGGATCTGGAGCTAGGCTACCGATTCCTCGACTGGTTCTCGCACCATCTCAGCAACTTCGAATTCAGGTGGAGATGGACGGAATGGCTGGAGGACCTTGAGCTCTCAAATCTGCACCCCAAGAAGGCTTTCATTCTTGCGACCTTGGACAAGGAGATACGGTTGTCATTTGCCAAGCGCATTCGATCAACGCTGCCAGAGCCCATGCACTCTATGATTCCCGAGCGACTAGACGCAGACAACAGTCCCGACTTCAAATACGACAACCAGCGTATGTATGCTTCGCATTTTGAAATGGTCTTCACTAACAGCGAATCCAGAAACCCCCTACGCTACCGAAGGTCAGACTCTTCTCAGTCAACTGAGGAAGAAGGCTACAGCCGAGGAGATTCAGGTCACCATTGACACGATTCACGAGAAGGCTCTCGAACAAGGCATCACCGAGGTTCTCGTGCCCTCGACCGATGCTTTCGTCACCGCCATCTGCCGACTAGGAGCGAAGTCACTTTCCCACGTTCTATCCTGCATTGAACGCGGCAAGGACCGCCTACTCGAGCTCTCACAGAACGAGGTCGCGCGTCGCCAGATTGTTGCCAGCGTCGTCGAGTACTGGAAAGACCAGCCCGGTGTTGCAGTCCGCATCATCGATATTCTGCTCAACTATACTATTCTTGCGCCGATGACTGTCGTCCAGTGGGTGTTTGGTAGCCACATGGGAGCTGGCGAGGCTTTGACAGAGAGCTGGGTGTTCGAGATGGTCAGCAATACCGTCGCCAAGGTGACTAACCGCAATCGTCAGATTGCATCTGCCCGTCTCCAGAAGGGTCTTCCTCAAGAACAGATCGAGATGGTAGAGGCTACACTGGCTAAGGACCGTGACAACGCCCGCGAACTGTTCAAGTACATTGAAGACTCTATGCGTGGCGTCGCTGAAGGTTCTGCTGATACCTTGGTTGAGAAGTCATCGAATGGCGCGCTCACGGAAGAGGAGGTCGAACTCATTAAGGCTTGGGGTAAGCGCTGGCACACAGTCTTCATCCGCAAGGCACAGGTCGAGGAGTCTGTTGTTGGTGAGGAGGCGGTTGAGGCGCGCATTCGTCTTCTCGCTGCGGAGCCTGATGTCGTTGCTGAGAGTATGGAGCAGGATGGCGATGGCGTTGCTGAGGCTACTAATGGGGAGGCGCAGATGAGCCTTGCTTAGGAGCGAGGCAATGTGTTTAGAGGGAAAGGTGGGAAAGTTGAGTGCGAAAATTAAGAGATTGAAGTTTTCGATCCTTGAGCCCGGAGTCGGGGATATTACAAAAGCATAAGGATAGCGGGCTTGCATTCTTAGAGAGTGTGTGTGTATGCGTGTTTGTGGACATGAACTTTCGGAGATGGCATGCACGTAGGGGTTTCTTTCGATTGACTTCACATGGGCATCGAGTTCGCTTGATAGTGTATAACATATCTCAAAATGGGTATTTTTGCGGAAACTCCGTGGAGAATCTCGTTTTATAGCCTGGAGGTTGTTCTGTGACGTGGTCAGGCGAGATGGTTGAGTTCCTCTTTTCTTACCATTTGCATCAGGTTACGTGACAATCTACATTACCTACTCACAATTGGTGGTCTCGTGGAAACTCGCAAAAGGACTGTGTTGCGGCTTCGAGATTCTTCTATGACGACTTGTTGTTTAGTACAGTTTGACCAGTGAGGAAACAGAGGCGCTTTTTGCTTATGCGCATCTGCGGGAACACACTGATTGGTCGCCGCATCTGTGTCCTGGAGTTTGATGCGAGTGATTGAGGCTCTCCTGTCACCCTGCGAATGTGTATCGCAAGTCGCATGTCTAATACCGCAATTCCGTCTCATCTCCGTGACCATTCGTGCGACCCGCCGGAATGAACGGATAATGCATGCACGCTGACGGCTAGCGCTGGCCAGCATGCATCAGCGCACAGGGCACTCCATCGTCATGTGAAAGAAGGCTTGCTCCGAGAACCCTGCAAATCATCGCGCGGCATACAGCTAACGCCGACAAACCAACCCGCGCCAACCCAACCCAAAGCTGCGAGTTTCGTAGCACCGCCGAAACCCAGCCTTTTTGCACAGCTTCCTGGGCAAAGAAACACCATGGTGTCACCGTCCTGTATTCCTCGTCGCATATAGTTCATCCTCTCGTTGCGTTTGATAGAGAAAGTGGACGCTGTACTGTACATATAGCTCTTTGTCAATCAACGATACGAAACGAAGCGCAACGGAACGAAGACGAATCCTCCCCCACGAGTCAACGACATTCCGCCGCCCCGACCATCGTGTGTAGATTCACAACTACCGATCCTACTCCCGCGGACACATCTCTTGCTTTGGACGCCAGCAAGCGCATTTCCGAGTCCATACTTTACGATCTCGCGCGATGCATATACCACCCAGCCACACAGTCGCTGCTGGCACAGCGACACCCATACAGAGCCTAATACCCACACCACTACCAACACCATACAATGCCTTATCTTGGATATCGAAAGAGCACGGGGGAGGCGGAGGCGGCGGTTATACAGAAAACTGGAGCAGTCTGATTGGCATCATTACCGCGATAATAGGTAATGTGCTTATATCGTTCGCGCTAAATATGCAGCGGTACGCGCACATCCGGCTAGACAGGGAGTTCCAGGAGAGACAACGGGAGAGGAAGAGGAGGAAGAGGGAAGCTGAGGTGATGGGTAGTGATGGTGGGGCGGGCAGGTTAGCAGAGGAGGTGCAGAAGATGGGGTTGGCACGGAGGCAGAATGGCAGCGAGGACATGGTCGAGTCAAGAAGAAGAAGAAGTAACGGACAGAATGGGGATCAAGAGGATATCTTCGAGGCATCTGAGAACGACCCGTTGATTCCGAGGCCGAGCGTGCAAAGAGAGGATAGCGCTGAGTCGGGCAAGCAGGAACAAGCGTTCAAGCAGACGTCGTATCTCAAATCGCCGTATTGGTGGTTCGGCATCATTCTCATGACGGTTGGCGAAGCGGGGAATTTCCTGGCGTATGGATTTGCGCCCGCGTCTATTGTCTCTCCCTTGGGTGTTGTCGCGCTCATCTCGAACTGCATCATTGCGCCTTTTATGCTGAAAGAGCCGTTTCGCAAGAGGGATGCGCTGGGTGTTATTATCGCTGTTGGAGGCGCGGTTACGGTCGTGCTGTCGGCGAACGATAATAATCCTAAACTGGGCCCTGGTGAGATTTGGGACCTGATAAGACGATGGGAGTTTGAGACATATTTGGGGATCACAGTGGGAGTTATTGCTGTGTTGATGGTTGCTAGTAATCGCTATGGGGAGAAGAATATCTTGATTGATCTGGGACTTGTAGGACTTTTTGGTATGTTCAAGTCAATCTGTTTTGTAATCCAACTGCTAACCTATGGCTAGGCGGATACACAGCTTTGTCAACCAAGGGCGTTGCCTCACTTCTCTCATACACGCTCTGGCGTGCCATCACGTTCCCAGTCTTCTACCTGCTCGTTGCCATCCTCGTCGGCACAGCCGTCATGCAGATTAAATACGTCAACAGAGCTCTCCAACGCTTCGACGCCACACAAGTCATCCCCGTTCAATTCGTACTCTTCACCCTCTCCGTCATCGGCGGATCAGCAGTCCTCTACCGCGACTTCGAGCGCACCTCCGGAGAAGACGCTGGAAAATTCGTTGGCGGATGCGCTCTAACCTTCTTCGGCGTTTGGCTCATCACCAGCGGCCGCCCATCCCACCACGATGACGGCGACGACGACGAAGACCACAATCCAGAGCCAGAAGATGCAATTCACCTAGCCGGCGAGGTCTACGCCGACGGTACATCCGAACCAAGCGAACAAGTCTCGCGCCGTCCTTCAACAACACGAGCACTATCCCCACCCATCGACACATCACGTCCTTACCAAGACGACCAAGACACTCGCCCCTCAACCCCAAACATCACGCTCACCCCCACTGACCCCGTCACACCACCAAACCCCTCCTCCCGCCCCGCAACCGCAGACATCATCTCTTCCCTCGTCGCAAACCCCTGGTCCGCCCCCAACGAACCCACCTACCGCACCCCACCTTTAAACAGACACACATCCACGCCCGTCCTCCCTTCCGAAGCCGCACCACCATCCGCGCCCCTCTTCTCCGTCTCAGATACTGATCTCCCAGCACCACTACCGCCACCCCGCACGCCAACGCGGGGCAAGAGCCAGAACGAAGTCCCGACTACGCCTGGCTCTGGATTACGCAGGTTGCGCACGGGCGATCGTGTGCAGAGTGCGAGGAATAGTATTGTGGGGGGTCCTTTGCTGGCGAGTCCGCTGAGTACGAGTTTGAGTACTATGGTGCAGGATCTTAAGCGGGGGAATTCGGTGAGGAGAAGGGAGAGCTTGCTTGCTTTGGGGGCTGGGGGTGTTAGAAATGGGGATAGGGGAGATGGCGGAGAGGATGGTGGTGCTGGAGTGGGAATGGGAATGGGCTTGGGTGGTGAGCCGTTGAGTAGGCGGAGGACGAGGGATAGTGCTGCTGGGGAGGAAGGGAGTAGGACGCCTGGTGGTGGTGCTAGGACGCCTGGTGGGAGGAGAGTGGGCAGAGGGAGGAGCTTGAGTGCGCTTAGTACGTTGAGTGGGCTTTGGAGGGGGATTAGGGGACAGGGGAGTAGGGAGGATTTGAGGGAGGAGGAGGGGAGGAGGGAGGGCGGCGGTGAAGGGCTGTAGATGGGGGGAAGGGGGTTGCTATTTATCAATAGACTTCATTCGACGTTACTTTTTATGTCTTGTTGTCTGTATGCGTGTGCTTCATGTATGTCTACGCTGCTTTTTCCTTGTATTCGCGATTAGTTATGTCTTTCGCTCAAGTATCTGTCGGACAATATTTGTATGAGGCCGTCTATATATCGATGTCTTGATAGCTTGGCAAAGAGGACGACATGTGCTAACCTAAAGCAGATGGCTATAGGCGGCTAGGTACTGCACAAGAAGAATATCTGGCCATTCAGTGCAGTTTTTGCCCGTTGGCGGGTGGTGAACCTGCACTGCAATCTTTAGCGCGGACGAGCAGGTAGATGAGCTGTGGTATATGTATAAGTGAGGACAATCAGCATTGCATTGCACTGCGATCTCTAGCGCAGACGAGCAGTGATGGAGACAAGGCTGAACGTCAGCCTTGTATATAGCGCTCCAAGTGACTATATAGAATGCACCTTTGGGTCTTCCAGAGGAGGTCAGATTTGGATGGCCAGGACTATTGGTTTGAGCTTTGGAGAACGATTTTATGATAAAGCTTTGGTTTTTTTTTTCCAGAGCTCGCCTGCGTCACGGTGCTACGGTGCTATCATGGTCAGATTTCTCAATCTTGACGGAATGCGAAGTGTATCGTAACGATTAGAAACTTTGTTTTAGGCTTTGGATTGTATGAGTACCAATTTCTGTTCGCACTGACAAGCACTGAAAGTTGGTGTAGGTAGCGCATTATAAATATGGGGCGCTAAACATAGACAAATCCAACCTCAGCTCCCGACTATAGACATCAACAATCTTCCAACCTCATCTCGAAATCAACATTTGGCTCTCGGCACCAAAATTTTGCGTTGGGCCAGATACCTTCCTGGACTGCCTGGCAGGCTATGTCAAGTTTACATAGGATCGTTCAGCATTTCCTGTAGATCTGGTACGAGCCACGTCCAGTAGCGATGTGTTTACATGCGTCTGTGACACCTATCCATCTGAGACCAATGGCATGTGAGCCTACATCTGACGTTAGTCTCGAACATTGGTTCATAGCCGATTTGGAAGTGACTAGCCTTTCTGAAGCGTAAAATACCCATGGCTTCCACCATTCTCCTCTATGCAGGTTTCGGGGTCGCCACAAGGGCTAGCATCAAGAGGTCCATCTCCATTCGTAACCCCTACCTTTTCACCATCGACAAACACCTCAAAGTGCTGACACCTCCCCAGCGAATCGGCGACCACAAATACGCTATCCTCTGGCACATGAACCATCTCGTCGTACATGTTCGAGGGTTCGTAGGAATTCTTCGTATGAGGCAAGTCGATATCCTTCCAGGGAATAAAAACTTCAGCCATGCATGGTTTCCCCGGAAGCTGTTGTGAGACCGGCGGTGCAGTCACATCAGCTAGAAACCCTGGACGCGTCTGATTGAATGTCGCTCCATCACGGCAGACGCATCCACATGTTTCTTGGATGGGTTCTGAGCATGTCAGAGTAAGTTCTTTCCCTTAAACGTCTGTTAGCAGCGAGATCTGATTACGGAACGACAGGGACTTGCCATTTTGACACATGACTGGCAAGCCGGAAAAGTCGCCAGAGGCAAATTGTGCGCATGCAGTGCCGCCAAAGAGAAGGGTCGCAAGACCGACAAAGTGACGCATATTGTTGGATATTTTGGTGATAGTAGATGGTAAAATAGTGGAGATGTTCAAGGGAGATGATTGTACTACTATTTCCTGAGCGGAATGCCTTCAATTTATGGACGTTTGGCCCGCTGTCGGTCTCCCCTCATCTCCAGTGCAGTCGCAGAACAAGCAATTCCTTAGATTCACCAGTGTTCCGGTGTTACTTCGTATGATTCCGAACAAATACTTGTTGGGATTAGTAGAGATTAGGAGCCAAACAATCTCATGCAAGACAATGTAGCCTAAGCACATATCAACTTCATAGTTCTAAGAGTCATCTAGCCACTTAAGTAATATGTATTGTCAAAGCATTCGTATGCCATATCATATATCTTGTAAGTGCTATGTTCTGCTAAACGATTATGGGATTCTTTTACTCATGACATTGACTGGCTTACATACTTATGATATGTTGATCATTTCATGTTACCTCCCGTTTTCATATGAAGCTATAAGCAAGCGCGAAGATACCTGGGTACTGCCCATTTGCAGATAAAGGTAAAGACTGATGCCGATCGTTCGAAAAAGAAAGTACTGTGTGTAAGCCCCACTGCCGTGCCTTTGCGCGCATTAAGCTAGGGCATGTGAAGCAAAAGCAACTCCGCGTGATCCGGTCCATCTTGTGAACAAACACGGTAACACTAAGTCTTTACTCTATACTAGATGCATTGCCTGTTCACGGATACTGCAATGTAGATCTCAGTGAGTTACTGACAATATGAAGTGTTAGGAAGCGGGCGAGAAGAAGAAAGTTAGAATTGAACGTATAAAAGCGTCGTGTTGACCTACCACATGTATTAACTATCAACCAACAATCAAAAAACTTCTCTCAAGCTCTATCTATCTACTTGAACATACTATGAGAATTTCCTCAATCTTCTTTGTGTCTGGCCTTTGTGCCAAGGTTTACGGCGGCGACGTACAACAAGTACTCAGCAGCTCTTTCGATCCTTCCCTGGCTTCATATACATGCGAAAATGGTACGTGCATCCTTGAAGTTGTAGATCTAGTAGGCTTACCCAGTGAACTAGGTGTAAAACCATCAGTTGCCTGTATGGATCCGTCACTCGGCGAACACAGCTGCTCATGCACTTGTTCGAACGGTCTCAGATTCGAACAATCCCTCCCGTCGTATTCTCCTCAGTCCGGTGGAAGTAGCAGCAATGGTTCCCTGGATGCCTGTCAGGCAGCTCAAGACAAATTTTTCGCACGCGAGCAAGAACTTCTAGCCGAAATCGAAGCATACAAGCCGAAACTTCCCAAATACATCGGTTGCTACATCGAACAGGCCCACCCGAATAGCATCTTGACTGGCCGTAGATTGGCCAGCAAGAGTCTAACATTCGAACAGTGCGCTATGCACTGTGAGGACTACAAGTATTTTGGCCTCGAACCTGATTTGTGCTGGTGTGGGAATGAACTCAAATTTGGGGTAACCATAGTGGAAGACAAAGAGTGTAATGATTTCTGCGCCGGTAACAGAACTCAGCAGTGCGGTGCCAGCTGGAGAACGGCCATATATAAGATTACTGAGTGATTAGAGTTGTACCAGGAGCTAGGAACTAAGAATACCGTGTCTGTGTGCAAAGTCTTAGGTCGCGCAACGAAACATTTGGCGACATGATAGCTGCATAGAAAAAGAAGAGTGTAGAACCACCTACAACATCTGGGTAGCTATAATCACGACATCCCTTAGTTTACTACTCTATTGATTTGATGAAAATGCCGGTGACAAGATGCAGACACAACGCTGTTGAGTTACACTGTATCGTATCGCGGGGTATCACTAACTACACTCGGTAGTGCAGCAAGAGGAGGTTCCATAAAAAGTGTGCTCAGGATGTGCTACGCAGCAATTTATAACCTTATGGATGTGCGCCGCCCACATCAGAAGGCGCTGCGGGGCACGACAACAACTACCTGAACAGGCTCGGCCTTCCTATTTTCCAGTCCTCATTCTTCACGTACAACGCAAACGATCAATTACGAAACATGTTTCTTCCCATTCCTGGAGTTCTTCGCGTCCTCTCGATTGCGCGCATCGCGGGATCAGTGTTGCCTTCCTTCTCACGAGGCTGAGCTTGCCCAGTTTATCCTTCACTCATTGTCGTTCTACATTCAGAGCCCACAGGACCATGACTTTAAGTTTGTGCGAGGTTTGTCATACCATTTTCGCAGAGCCGTCAATTCTGAGCACCGAAGAGCCTCATCATGAACGCCCAGATGATTTCGTCAAGGCTGCAACATATTGCTACATTTGCCGAGCGATCACGAAAAGTGACTTGTGGAGGGAATTCCAGCGTCGTATCGAGATGAATCCGGAAGCCTTACCTTCGACCTGGTATTCCATTAGATCTCAGTACGAAGATCCCAGAAAGCACTCCGTGATGTACACACTCTTCATTGAATACGGTTGGAGTGACGATGACAATGATCTTTACCCGCAATCAACCACCAGCTCCGAAGATTTGCCTGCTAAATCGCCGGACACACTCAATTGGACTTTCGCAATCGTACTTTACATCGGTAAGCTGTAACAGTATTTAACACTATTGAAACACGTTTAATATGATCTTGCAGACAATGCAGAAGACATTCGCCAGTTGCCGTCCAACATTCAGGACCCAAGTGTGTTAGAGCTGCCCATGAGATGGTACCGGGAATGTATGACGAGTCATTCTGGCTGCGCGCCTTCGGATCCAACTTTTCGAACAACACGCTCGATTGAGATGAACAATGCGAACTCAGTCAAGCTAGTTATCACTAAAAATGAGGACGTTGACGGATCATGTGTAGCCTTCTCCTATTGTTGGGGCAAAGCGAAGACCCTCAAATTGGTCCAAGACAACCTGCTGCAGTTGCAATCATGGTTCAGCAATTCAGAACTTCCCACAAGTCATAAAGAAGCATTCTTGATATGCAGGAGTATGGGGTTTTGATACGTCTGGATGAACTCACTCTGCATCATTCAAGATTCCTCCGAGGACTGGCAAGACGAAGCGCTCGTTATGAAAGACGTATACAGAAACTCAACGATGAGCTTGTGTGCAACAGCAGCGGCAGAAAACTCTGGAGCGAGCTTCCAGTCTAGAAATATCTCTCTTGTCGCTCCTCTGGTCTTGAACGATTGGATGGACGACGGCGATCGCAAAAAACGCTGGTGCATTAATAACACCCAAGACATGCTCAATCAAGAAATCAGAGAATCACCACTTGTCTCCCCAGAGTACCTCTGATTGTGAGATCTGATCCTACAGTTCCCAACACCCATAGCTTCGATTTTGATCCCGAGTCCGGGCTCGACAGCAGGAGCAATATGATTAGCGCGTCCCTCGACGACGGAAAAGAAGAGGGTGTTGCGTCAAGGGACGCGAAGGCCCGAGGTCCATAACATGACAGCTATTGATTTTGTGTTTTGGGTACCCAATTGTGGGTTTCTTGATCGTATTGAAGGCAGAGTTTTGGTAGGAACACACTCGACCGAGTTGATGGTATACCTCTCGACATTACTTGTCTGATGTGTTTCTTAACGGTAGGAGCATCGTCGGCTCGCAGCTGCAATTTGACGCATCAGTATTTTCTTGAGCTTCAAATAGATTTTATCTGTGTAGACGATGTGAGCGCAGTTTTTCGGAATTTCAAAGCATTTGCAGCACTGTTACCTTGTGTATGAACTTATGACAGAGACGTCATGTGGCATGAGTCTGTTGCTACAATGCAGACCTATAGTCCTCTTTATTATCCTACAATCCCCGCATCATGGCCACGTGACATGGTGGCGTTATGCGCTGTCAGCCTAGTCAGCACTTTAACTTATCATATCGCACCCCGCATCGTAGCTGCTCCAGCAAGACTTCTGTCACCGAGTTACTGTCTACTATCTGGCTAACGAGCTCAACACTATTCGATATAGTGAGTTTCCGGGTCTGTCGAGACACAAGTTTCACCATCAGCCTTACCAGGATCGACACAAACACGGGCAGCACGAGCACCAGGCAAACATCACAAAGAGCACAAGAAGCGACGCCAAGATCGAACATGGAGGAAACTACCTCGCCGCCTGCCCACACATGCGCACATTGTGCGGACATAGTATTTCCAGGAAGCTCGGAAAAGATACATGTATCTCGTATGGGCTCACTGGAAGATCCATTCAGTAATCTTGACTTCCGTGAGAAGATCCTGACTCGCCTGGGTCTCTCTCTGGCGGATCTTAGGCTCAAAGCCAACGCCGGGTGTGACTTTTCGCAATACCTCAAAGACGAAATAGAGCACAAGATGTACAAAGGCGCAGATCCTAATGCAATCCAGCTGTACATTCATCTGGATTGTCTTTCGATATTTATTGAGCCCTTGATATGTCTACAAGACCTTCATCTTCCGGATAACGTCTTTGAGGGTAGAGATGTGAGTCGCTGCTTTGTGTCTACTGGATGGCACAGAGGTCTGCCCTACATATACTGTACCTTGGCTAACATAACAGGTAAGTCCTATGCGTACTGATGCAGGATACGCCACTTTGAGTTTGGAATGGCGACACCACTAACGAACTTAGGAGATGATTCTCATGAGGAAATAAAGATCCGCAAGTCGATTGTTCAAGATCCGCTTTCAGATCGTACTGTAACAAATGTGCGAGATTGGTTAAAGCGTTGTGAAGACGAGCAGCATGGCTACCACAAGATCTGCTCGTTGAGCGAGCGTGCGTATGTTCCAACTCGCCTGATCAAGATATCAGGGCCTCCAGACCAGCTACAGTTGAAAATCGTTTGTCGCGACGATCTGGAAGAACATGACGTGTCAAGATATGTAGCCTTGAGTTATTGCTGGGGTGGCGATCAAACGAACAAGCTGACACAAGAAAATCACGGTCTTTACAAGAAGAACATTGCTTGGGAAACTCTACCAAAAACCATTCAGGATGCTGCAAAAACAGCCCAGGCACTGGGTTTCCAATACATCTGGATCGATTCGATGTGCATCGTTCAGAATAGTAAGGAAGATAAGAAGGCTGAAATCAATCAGATGACGAAGGTCTATGCTCATGCGACATTGACGGTAGTCGATAGTAGGGGCGACAGAGTGACTGAAGGCTTCCTGCATCCCAGAACTCTCCCTTCCGGAACTACTTCTATCCAATATCGAACAGAAGACGGTCAAACACAGCGTTTGACTTTATTATTCAATCATGCGTCTAATGTGGAGGAAAGTGTTGCTGTAAACACACGAGGATGGACTCTGCAAGAGTACCTCCTTTCTCGTCGCCGACTCATTATTGGCACTTGGTCAACAGAGTGGCATTGTCGAAAGAAAGATGAAATTCACACAGATGGGTGGGCACGTAGCACTCGTATGGGACCCTCAGCAGGTATTCCATATCACGTCGAGGATGAAGGTTGGGCAGGCCCCGGCCCCTTTGGATCCAAAGAAGCCGAGTCTGTCTACAGCAGTAGCTTCATCAATGCAGCTATGTTCTTCTCGGTAAATCCAGGATATCCCCCCGGGCAGGTGGACAAAGTGCTCGTCTGTTTTTCCTGGATCGTAATCGTTACATCTTACAGTAAGCGGTCGGTGACAGAATCAGAAGATAGAATCCTTGCTCTATCTGGAATTGCTGAGAGGTTCGCAAATTTGGTATCGGGACGATATATAGCAGGCATTTGGGAGAACATGATGCCTTCGTGCTTGTACTGGTACAAGTTTGGTCGGCCTGTTGATAGACCGGTCAAATACCGAGGTCCGTCCTGGTCATGGATATCGATTGATGGGCAAGTCGAGCACATCTTCAGCGATAACTGCCTGTGCGAGATTCTTTCCGTTGAGTACATGCTCGAGAATGCTGAAGCTCTCTATGGAGCTGTGCGTAATGCCACGCTTCATATCAAAGGTCCTGCTCTTAGTATCGAATGGCGATACACAAGACAAGATAGGCAGGAACAGGAAGATAAGGAACTACAGGAAGACCTGAGCGAGCTTAGATGGTTCCGGGATGGCAGCGATGATCCTCAGGGTCTTCAGTTGTCAGTGCAACTCGACGCTCGAGAACAGACAGCAGAATGGGGAGAGATCGTTCTGTTGGCTTACGGATTCTTCAACCACGGTCTGGGTCATCAGGACTCTTGGTGCATAGCCCTCACTAAGGTAGACCAAGTTGAAGTCGACAACAAGCCTCGGCATCGATTCCGCAGATTGGGATTTGTCCAATTTTTCGATTTTTCTCCTCTCCCACATGTCGAAAGTTGGCCAGTAAGCTCCTACTATGTGATCTGATGGTTGCATCGATGCGAAGGCGTTCGGCGCCTTTTGTGGATATCAACAACGTTCGCTGTAAGTCATCTTTCTGCTTTTTTTGCAGATACATCACACCTAGAACTCGAGAAAAGAATCCCAGCATATATGATAGTGTTCTACTTCTAAAACATAACACAGCTGTATGTATCATGCAAAATAGACAGGAGCCTGGATAGTCTGCATTCTAGACAGCATAGCGCAACTACACTCTGATGTCAAACTCAACTATTGCCTTGAGTAGTCAGACCAACGAAAACCATCAACACTGCGGCATATCCAAACGTAGCTGCTAGAGTCTGGTCGTTTGACGTGTTGAACATAACTGAACACGTAATCGCAAATAGCACAACCGCAACCGTGGTGGTGATTAGGTTCTTCTTCTGGCTCTGATGCAACGCCATGACGTACATAGGCACCAAGATAAAAAGTGAGCCTGTCATCGCTATGATGAATTTCGCGAGCCTCTGTACAAAGCCATTTGGAACAATCGGCCGATGTTCTTTGTCGTACATATCTTTCTTCAGTTTCCTCTCGCCCTCTGTCCACGTCCACGAAACGGGTAAAAACCTCAAAAGGGTACCGAGGACTTCGTCATTCCAAGGATCTTTCTGTGAGACATGACGAAGTATTCGGTATTCTCCTGATTCAAACGGATCGCAGTTCGAAAAACTCTGTGCGATGTATTTGAAGTATCCGTTACTCTGTCTATGACGACGATCTTTATCGACTTCTGAGAGGCGGTCAAGGGAGCGAATGTACTCGAAATCTCTGATTGCGTCCGCTACAGGTACGCATCGTCAGTATGCAACTAGCGGAATTGTTACTGAATCTCGACGAAGAGCTCGTTTCTACCTTGAATGTGCAGGTACTCTCTGATTTCCTTGATATCATCCTCTGTAGCAACTCCATTGTCATAGAGCTTTTTTCTACATTTTGCAAGTCTGCTGTTGATATCAAGAAAGTTAACACGCCGTAGCGTAGTCATCTCCAGATACCATGGCTCAGAGAATCCGACTGGCTCATTTTGTAACGATTTCGCGAGTCGAAATATTTGAACCTGCTCGTCCTGCTCGCCAAGATCACTTCCAAGAGAAGAGAAGGACTCAGTTCCCGACCGAAGGCTTTCCGTACCTCGCACGCTTTGGGATGAGGCTGCGGATTCCAGTTCAGGCATTGTGCTCGTTGCATCCCTCGCCGGTAGCCCCTTCTCCGGGTCTAGGCGCTCGCTTTTGGTCTTCGAAGTTATGCTCGGGATCGGATATGGGCTGCGAGCGCTGTCCTCCTGCGCATATGCCCTCGAATTATACGCAGATTCTGAACTCATGGGGACATACGAAGAAGTAAGATCCTAATGACACATGAGGCCATGGGTGGCTTCTCTTCCCCTCCTTTAGTAGAGGCTTTGCCAAGCCTGACAAATCATGGTGCATGTTGGCTGCAGCAGTGGCGTTATCTGGTCAGCGTGGATTCGCTTATCCTTGCATGGAGTCAGCGCGAAAGTGAAGGCTCGAGGGATAGATAAAGTGTGTTGATCCCATCGTTCCAGACATCACAAACATGCCCACACTCTACCATCCCAGGCAACCGAGTATCAATACTAAAAGTCAGGGTCAGGAAGAAGGCGACGGAGTCAGTCTCATAGTTTTCTCTCAACTTGAGGCTATATTTAAGTATTACGAACATCTGATCAACAGGAGCAAAAGTACACGGACATCTGATGCGGGCAAGAAGTGGCTCGATATAATTAGTACAAGGCTCAAGTGGCTATCTGACGACAAGTTTGCATTGAAGAAGAAAGTACAAAAATGCACGCACTACAATGGTCCGTTTCCTTGGGCACTATGATTGTCGTCGAACGTGAGAACTAACTTCATCTCCAGTCAGAATTGAAAAAGAAGCGAGTCAGGAGTGTTCGATGCAGATAAGATCAGCCGTCGCCGATTTACGGTCGTACAAAGAGATTCTGGTCAACATAATCCGCCGTAAAGAATCTGAATCTAAGAACGAGGAGGTAAAGAAGGTGCTGAGGGACACGTACCATAAAGCGTACAAAGCTCTAGAAGTCTTTCATAAAAGCTGTGACGAGGCTATCAAGGCTATCAATAAAGCAAGAGCTGGTGGGTCTACTTGACATGGGCGGGGTAGACACGCGAAGGGACATGGTTCAATCTAGCTTCATCGTAAAGCCCCTGCCCACCAGACTGCTGGCTTTCCTTCCCAATGTATTGATTTGATCTACGTGCTAGTGATAAGATACAGGCACAACGATGCTGCATTACACTGTATTGTATCGCAGTAGAAGTGTTGATATGATGGACGTGCTGGTGATGAAACGCAGACACAACGCTGTTGAGGTACACTGTATTGTGTCGCAGTAGAATTATGTTCCCAGACACGTTCCTTTGTGCTGTATTTGCAGTTCAGGCTCAAAAAAGCAGTAAATGCTTGCGACAAGATCGTTGGTTTGCGTACTACAAATCATGCAGAGCCTCATACCCTTTCTCTAAAAAGGCCATCGCAAAGCAGTCCATGGCGGGGCAAGGGCACCAAAGTTATGCAGTCATCAGCATATGCGGATTTACGCCGCATCGCTTACGAGTTGCTCGTAGGCCGTTCCAGGCTCGATTGGCTGCCGCAGTACCATACAACAACATTGTGTAACGAAGGTGGCTACCTGCCGTTGGTTGTTGTCATCCCAGAGAAGATGCAGCCGCAGAATGATTTTCCGGTGAGCTGCAAACGGCTGTATAGGCATGGTTATGGCACTGATCAGATGACACGTCGCAGCCGTTTGGTGTGAGAAGGCTGAAATCGCGAAAGGCAGCAGAAGAGCTTTTGTGTCTAGCGCGGCTATGTACAAAAAACAAACCTGAAGTGCAGCCTGGCGATCTCCTTCTATTCGCTCTTCTTCTCATGGGATATCGACATGGCAACGAATACTAGCAAGGTAGTTGCGCTGGTTACTTCTCAAAGCATGCCGTCCTCGTGAAATTCGTAACGTCGTATAATCTATATCCATCGAATTAATCAGGCCGTCTACTCTTCTTCAACCTAGCCCTTTCCTTTCTATCTTTGCTCCCCTGTCGCTCATCGCACCCATCTGCCTCCGCAGTTTTCTCATCATCCCGAACGACACCATCCGAGCCACCATCCGGACTCCGTTCATCGTACCGTGGTAACCTAGGACTACTCTCCCACATGCTCTCCTCAACCCACGTCGACTCCCTACTCAGCGGTTTCCGACTCAACCTCGCCTCCTCCACCCCCCTCAAATACCTCTTCCTCAACTCCTCGTCATCCAAGACGTGAAATGAAATATCCGTATCCGACCGTACCAACGGCCTAATCTCGTGGTCTCCCACAGTCGTCGAAGAAGGAGACAACGGCCACTGTTTCTCCTTACCCGACGAAGTATACGCCGGAGTAAGCGGCGACAGCGGCGTCTCCACCGGCGTTTGCATCATCCACTCTTTCCTCTTATTCCTCTCTTCTTCCTCCCTCCCCTCATCCTCCACATTCTCTACAAACAAATGACCCTCAATAACCGTCCCCCGCGTCCCCTTCTTGCCATACAACTCCCTCTCCAACCCCGCATTCTTCGCCCTCACAAGCTCCTTCCCACCCAGTCCCGTGCGCCGCCGCGCCGCCACCGCCATCGCAAACGCCGCCCGCAAAGGCGTGAGTCGGTAGCCCTCCTTGACGAGCTTACAATTAAACTGCGCATCCTGCCAGAGCACATACATGCTCAGCGTCCAGATGGCCGTGACGAGGATAAATAGGCCAGACATGAGTGTCGCGAAGCCCCACTGGTAGCTCGGGTTCGCCGTGTCGGGCAGGCACCGGCTCTTGTCGGTCAGGTAGCTGTAGTTGTATCCTACGCCGTTGTAGCAGTAGCCAAAATCGCCGACGAGGTTGGACGCGTCGTACTGCTTTCCGTTGATGGGGATAGAAATTGTGGCGTTGCAGGCATAGGTGTCGTCTGCGCTGACGTATTGCGTATTTATGAAGGAGCGCGCGGCGGCATCGGTAAAGGTTTGTGTGTTGTTGGGGTACGTGTAGGAGCAGTTTGCATAAGAGGGACTAGAGTAAGAATAGTAGTAGTAGGAGTATTGGCTCGAAAGCCATTTGTATCGCTCGTCGGCGGTGGTTATGGTACCGTTGGGGAACTGGCAGTCACCTGGGTTTCTTGTTATTAGCATAACGGTATAGGGGAGCGGGCTTGTTTACATTTGTGTTCTCGTTGGTCTTGCATGTAAAGATAGTCGTCTCGTGCCTTCCAGTCTACACATGCTGTTGTCTTGAACGTTTCGTTCTTTGTGCCTACCAGGGCCCAGGTTTGGTGTAGTTCACTTGCCGGGATGATGTTATTCTCGCCTTCGAGGTCAATCCACGCAATGCTCGTGCTGTCATAACCCGTCATAGCGCCCAGCACAATAGGCACAAGCAACACGTACCCCGTAGACCAGAACATGTAGAAGAAGAGCGCTCTCGTCCTCGCGCTCTTCGCATTCCACAGCTCCTTTGTCAACGTCCACAAGGAATGCAGCCCGGGTCCCTCATTCCCAATCCTCTGGAAAATCTCAAAACTCGCTGGATGCCGCTCAATCGCCCGGAGCAGCGCGTCGCAAAACACATTGTAACTCGCCCACCACGCCAGAGCCTGCGCGCCCTTGCCGACGAGTAAATCCCACAAGACGTCAATGGCTTTGACCTGGGAAAACGAGAACCGACCAAACGTCGCGTCGAGCGCAAACAGCTTTTCAATCCCCGTCACGGTAGCATTCTGAGGCTGCCCGTAGAAGCTGTCTCCGCAGCTCAGCGTTTTATCTGCAAAGATGGAGGTAAACGGAGTCAAGTAGCTGATCAACGTCATAGGCAGGACAACCCAGATGACCACGAGACAAAACGCGTAAAACTGCTTCTTGCTCCAGCGCACGTGTTTCCACACAGGCGCATCCTTCGTCGTCTTTCCAACCCATTTCATCGCGTCCCAGGTACTCAAGCAGGCGTCGTGGAACACCCAAGTCCAACGAACCTTCCACTTTGCTTTGGACCGCCAATCCCATCGCGCGAACCGGCTTCCCTGCACACTATCGTTTCCCCAGGTCGTGACACGTTCCCGGCGTGGTGGCTCCGACGATGGTGGTGGTACCGACGAAGCAGGCTCATGCAGCAGCGACTCGGACGTTGAATCGACAGACGAACACGCGACTTTGGCATCCCGATCCTTCTCTTTCTTTTCATCCGCGACAACACCACTGGAATCCGCCGCTGGACTGTCCGTCGTACCGGCGCGATTATGTATCCAAGGGAACAACATCTTCGTATTCTATCCAACAACAACCCCACCCCCACAGTCCAAAGCACGGCGGCGACGCGAGAGAGGGAAAACCAAACAAAGCAGGTTTAGTGGCAATGCATCAACGGTACTCCGGGTCGAAGAAGCGAGGGGAGCGGAGCGGCGTCGTGAGGCTTTCCACACACACAGACACGAGAACACGGCGCGAACTCTGCATCTGGTCGTGTCGAGGGTACAGGAAGACAGACGCAGATGTGTCGAAGTACTACTACCACCACTAATCAAGCACCCGTTTACGAATCGCGTAGGACGCCTTAGCGGCGATACCGCGGACGGGCTACCTAGTATGCACGTCGTTGCATGTTTGATGCCTGCAGGTGTTCGGTTCTGGCATGTGCGTTTTGACGGCGGCGGCGGGCGGAAGACAAAGTGAAAACGCCAGAACACATTCGGTGAATACACGATTTACTCGCGGTTCGCTTGGGATTCCTTATATGCACCAATTACCTTGACTTTTTTTTTTCTTTCTTTTCGACGACATACAAGCCACGAGCACGGCACACATTTCCCACAACACGCACAGAGAGGAACGATGATGGGGATCAAAAGGGCCAGTTCGTGTCTGCCTTGCGGTGTGCAGGGCTTATCCTGGAAGCTAGCATGAAAGATGTACCTGGAGCTAGCCCCGTGGGGTCTAGCGCAGTCTTACACAGCCTCATCCTAGATGCATGCGAACTGACCACCCACCGCTGCCGCCGAAAGTATGGCTAATAACTAGCGGACCGGAGTTTGCTAAACGCTTTGAGGTCAAGATGTCCATGGTGCCCGCGTCCTTGCACTGTTACTCTTTGGAGTAATTGTCTCGTTGTTTCCCTTGAATTATTGAACGATTAATGTCATAAGCTTGCTATTTTCTCGGTTTTCCTTGCATTTCGATCTTTCACTGCTCTTCCATCTGGTTACAATGGGCTCACGATGAACAGGAATATCGTTCATCCAAATGATACACCAGCCACCTCAATCTACGGCCACAAGAGAAATTGAATGACCCACACAGTATCAACCATCAATCATCATGCTCACACTCCCCACTCGTCCAGAAAAGAGAAAAAAGAAAAAGAGTCTTGTTAGAGACACCCTTTCCCATTTATCAGTATACGAATATACAGCAATCGAGCTCCAGGCCCGACCAATGCATGCATGCAAACCAAGCCAATAACCTTTATGTATACAGAACGCCATGTTTTAAAAAAAAACAGAACCCCCTCCTTCAATGCCCCTTCTCTGCCTCCGAGAAAAAGAATTAAGCTAGGCATCATCATCATCATCTCTCCATCTCCTCAAGAACAACAACACCCCGCAATCAACTACCAACCGGCGTCCCACTCCTCGACAACACACTCGCCGAACTATTCGTCCTCAAAACCGGCGTCGCACTCCGACTCCTCTCCCTCTCGCGATCCCTCTCCTCCGTCTTGACCCTCTCCCTCGCCTCCTCCACCAACCGCTTCGCCTCCCTCACATTGCGCATCGTACGACTAAGTTTCCCTTCTTTCCCCTCTTGCAACTTCTGCAACTCCCCCCTCGCCTCGATATCTTCCTTCGTCTTGGTAACAAAACTCTTCAACGAGACTTTAATATTCTGGCGGAGGTCCTGGCCCTCGTCGAAAATGGCGTCGCTGTCGCGGATGCTCTTTACGTTTTCGACGCGGCGCGTGAGGTACAAGGTAGGTCGACGTGCGTTGGCAGCGGCGCTTGCGGCGAATTGTTCGCGGCGCTGGGCAATGATGCGCTGGACTTCTTCTTCGTAGGCCGTTTCGTACACGTTGATGTCCACGTTGGACGGCGATTCCGACACGATGCAGCCGTCTTCGGGGCCAGGGGGAAAGTCCTCGCCAGTGCCAATGTTAAGGAAGAGCGTGTCTTCGAGCGGGTTGTGCGCGTGGCCTTTGCCGAGGGGTGTGGTTGGTGTTGATGACGAGGGCGCGATGCCGCCGGGGGTGGAGATGGAGTGGATTGGCGCGGGACGGATGGACATGTTTTCGTGGATGACCTTGGCATTGCCGTCGAGACCTGGCACTGTTGGGGTGGTTGGACTGCTGGTCGCAGGTGATCGGGGAGCTGGACGTCTTCCTGCTGCTTCGGCTCGGAGACCAGGTTTGGTATAGGCCATGTCGTCCATGTTGTGGGGGAGCCTCTGGCCCCGCTCATCGATGTTGATACGGTGATGTACGCCCTCGGTGGAGAGTGCGCCTTCGACTGGTCGTCGGTCATGTGTGTCTTGTGATTTTGATTTGCGTAGTGCTGATGGTCGCATGGACATGGGAGGCTGAACAATTCGCGAGGCACTACCTAGTATACTCTCAATACGGTCGGGTCGCCTTCTGAACAACAGTTGCTTGAAGCGCTTGACCGCCCGTACCTACCGAATTGTTAGCCAAGACTACTTTTGACACCGTCACGGCAGTGCTTCTCGTATGCCATGGGGATTACGTGCACCTACCACTGTGACCAAGTGACCCATGTTGCCTGTGATAGCAGCATTAACCTCCTCGTCGGTCGGCGGATCAATAATGATGGCCACGTTTTCCGACTTTGCTAGTAAAGGGTCTGTTCCTTGCCGTGTAACCCAAGGGTGTTCCTGCTCGAGTTAGACTTGCGCAATAAACCCAAACGGCCAACTCACTCTAATTTCTTCCATGGTAATCCTCTTCTTGGGGTCCTTCTCCATTAGCCGCTGGAGAAGTTCCTTCAGCTCCGGATTGCAGTCAGTCTCGAATTCCAACGGGTCCATTCGTATTGATTGGTAGAGCTCAATCATGCCGTGCTTTTCAAATGGTATCCGTCCAAAAAGGAGGCAGTACAGCGTGCAGCCCATGGACCATATATCCGCAGCTCTTCCCGAGACATGCCCGTGCTTGGCAACACACAGCTCAGGCGGCATAAACGCTGGCGAGCCCGCTGACTTTGCCGTCTTCATCTCGCCTTCCTTGTCGAACATTTCTGAAACGCCGAAATCGACAATCTTGAGCACGTCCTCTTCCGTGATGAGGCAGTTGTCGGGCTTGATGTCACGGTGGATAATACCCTGGGCGTGGACTGGCAGGAGTTAGCCTTGGGTCACGCAGGGTCGGAGGTCACGCACGGTATTCGAGACCCAGTATCATGTCTCTGAACCAACACCGACACTGCTCTTCGCTATATGGGTCGGCGCGCTCCTCGAGACCAACTTGCATGACGACGCCCTTCTTGCACATCTCCATGACCATGTATAGCGAGTCTTCCTCGGGGTCGTCCAACACCTCGATCAAGGTGACCAGGTTGGGGTGGTTCAGCTTCTTCATAATAGCAATCTCTTCCTTGATGAGCTCAAAGGCATTGTTCTCTTCAGTGACGGAGTGGCGGTGCAGGGGCGAGTTGAAGCCTATGCCAGCTGGGAGGGCGCGCATTCGCTTCGCAGCCGTGGGTCGGCGGAGGAGGTTGGACTGGGCGCGCTTTCGCAATCGCGACTTTGAGAATTCCTTGACAGCCTGCGCGTTGATGCGTCAGCGAAAGCCAATGGCTGTACCTCGTAGGGAACCCGCATGTGTATCTCTCTCTCTCTGGGCGCATGGGCCGGGTGGAGCCTCCTCTTTCTGGTTGTCAGGCTGGTATCCTCACATATTCTTGGCCATACTGGTCTACGGCAAGGTGAACGGCGCCAAAGGAGCCGCGGCCAATCTCCTGCTTGACTAGGTATTGGTTGATGCGGTGCTGGGCGCTGCCGTCATCTTCGCTGTTGCTGTACTCGGAGCGCGCATTGAAGGTTTCCTAGCAGGTTAGCGTCAATGCGTCGTCGCATGCGGTGCGTGGCGGCCGTCGCACCTTGACACGTCTTGTCGAGGAAGCTGCGCGCTTGTGGTGTCGTAACGGGCTCTGGTATGCGGGTGTTGACCTGGTCTAGCATCAGCACTACGCCCACCACCTCCGCGGGGTACAAGCGGCAGCAGCACGCACATAAACTTAACGGGCGGCGGTCGTCCGGCCCCGCCGACTGCAGGAACGTCTAGAGAAGGTTGCGAGGTATAGATGCGCAGGTCGGATTCTGAGGGGCGTTTGTGGGGAGGTGTCGGCGTAGGGGAGGGTGACATAACTCCCTCAGTAGTCGGCCAGGGCGGGCGGTAGCTAAGTACGTAGCTGATAAGATTGACACACGGGGCTAGCAGAGGGTTAGGGAGAAATAATATGGGGAAATCCGGGACCGTCGACGCAGACGTTCCGAGAGTGCAGGATCCAGCTGTTTAGAGAGGACCCGACTAGAGAGTAAGAGGGGGGACGATGCAGCAGAGAGGGGGCCGTTTCCTGACATTTCTTTCAGCCTCACCCCGTCACAACATCACCTTCAGCTCGCGATCCACTTAGACCGTGCTCTGTTGATCCACTCTGCTTTCATCCGCCTAATCTCTCCACCTTCGCTCCGATTACCCTTCACCGGCCACATCTGACGTACCTGCCAACAACTACCTACGGTCAATTGGCATCGGTGACCAAACCCGCATAGCCGCTTCCCTATCGACAACACCACCTCCGCATACCAATCACCTCCCCCGACCACCCGCCTACGTCATCCTCCTCACAATGGTCCTCTACAGCTTCTACATCTTCGATCGGCACAGTAAGTAGCTCCCTGAACGTTACGCCGTGCACGCGCTGACCGCGTCCCCCAGCCGAGTGCATCTACTCGCGGCGCTGGACGCCCGCGCGCCCCTCGTCGTCGTCGTCCAAAGCCACGGCGCGCCCGCAATCCGGCACCTCGATTGCGTCCAACGGGGACGTCGTGGCCGCCGTGCGCAAAGGCATGTCGCATTCTGACGACGAGAAGCTCGTCTTTGGCCTCGTCTTCTCGCTGCGCAACCTCGTTACCAAGCTGGGCGGCGCCGACGACACCTTCCTCAGCTACCGCACCGGCGAGTACAAGCTGCACTACTACGAGACGCCCACGCGCATGAAGTTTGTCATGCTCACCGATACAAAGGTGATTAACCTGCGCCAGTACTTGCATCAGATTTGGGCCAATTTGTACGTCGAGTATGTGGTGAAGAATCCGCTGGCGCCTGTGGAGCATCCCGGTGGGATTGGGGTTGCGAATGAGCTGTTTGAGAGGGGTTTGGAAGCTTTCATCACGGCGGTGCTGCCGGTTTGAAGACGATGGAGGGCAATAAATCAAGATTACACAATGGCAAAACGCACACGGGGACACGGGCATGGCATGCGACAGCACCATGGACTGGGAAAGGCAGGACAGGCGGGTTTTCCCATTACAATGCAGCCACGGTGTCCTTAACAACAGCAAATACTCTCAGGCCCAGAATTCCTGAACCCAAATATCCCCAACGAAAGAGGCATAGAAAAGCTGCGCCAGATTACTTCGACCCGCGGGGAATGCAACGACGGACATGCATACAAGCTTCGAGCCGTGTCGGGAGTGGCCGCACTTTCCTTGTCAACCCCAGACGCTCGACTGGCCCCACATTCATGTACACAGCCTCACACCAAGACGCGACTAAGGAGCGCTACATGGGGATGCGCGTGGGCTCTTGGTCTAGACTCATGATGGGGTGTGTGGGAGAGTGATGGGGAGGGGCATGTTGCGTTGTAGTCTAATAGATATTGAATATATCCTCCCTTTTCGACGGCTATGTCAACGCTGGTTTCTTGGTTTTTTGTTTGCGTATGTGTATTAAATGGAAATGGGATTAACGATAGAATGTGAAAACCATGGTCTGGAGTTTCGCGAGTGATTCGAGACATGTATAGTGGTGTTTGGGCTCTTTTGGGAGCGGCTAGACCGAGGATTCGTGCACATTTCTTGAAGCTTTCTTTTAATTCATCTTGTCGCTAATCTGGCGCAGAGGAATATTGGTGAAGAGTGAATTGCTGGATGGCAAGAAAGTCATTTATGCACCTCTAGCCTCGTGTGCAACGATGCCGACGTCACTGAGCGTATGTATATTTTTTGGGCCGTATGATCTCTATGACGATGTTCATAACAATTTTCTTGGTTGTCTTCTTTCGGTCAAGAGAAAAGTATTACGAAAGAATAAGATGATGGTCGGAACGAGAGAATTGTACATGTTTTGTAGATCGTCTCGAAAGCACGGAGACATCGACTTCTAGTATAGAGATTTATCGGTCTCCCTTTTCTCATATTGCAGCCAGAACATGATTTTGGTATTGTTTTCGGGAATTGGATGTGATAGTAGAGTGAAGTGTAAAGGTGCAAAGACGGCTCTTGTGTGATTTCTGTTCAACGATCGAAGCGGGACGGTCATAACATTGTGTCTTTTGTGTTTAGATTCTATCCTTCTCGCATAACTCCGTTTTGCTCAAGTTTTGGTGTTTTGAAGAAGAAAAGGTTGTTAGTGAGGGAAGGAGAGAGGAGGACAAATGTCATTTATATCTCTCACAATTCATGCTCAACGAGGCAAGACTATGTTCTTCTCAACGTCGATGTTGGGGCCCTTCGCTCATCGTAGCGCATAAGCGCGATGAGTTTGAGTTCCTTGCTATTGATGGCAACCATGTATGTCCAGATAGTCGCTTCTGAATTACTAGTATCCGCATAGTATTTCTGAAATGGTGTTTTTGGAAATTGTTTTCACATGGTTCGTTTTGCCCGCGAGTTCTCTAGAAGCATGTTCGGTCTCTACTTTCTTTTCGGGAGAACAACGACTAACTCAGACATGAGTTCGTTTTGGTTGTGATTTGGGAGTAACGAAAGAGCCGGTAGAATGAACCTATGTTTTTTAGATAGCACATCTGGTATCGTAACGTGTGATCGTGTGCATTTGATCTGCGCCGCGTCCGAGACTTCCATGATTTCCCCCGAATATTCAGAAGGAGGCAGCAGACGCAGACATCGATGTCAAACAATAGTGTTTTGATAACAGGAGAGAAGCATTTGGGATTCAGAAGACGAGGTTGTCTTTGCGGACTGCGATTTTGAAGTGATGTTGCAGGCTTGGGAAGCGATGAGCAACATGGACGAATTGCCTCTGTTTTTGCAGAAAAGAAGCGAGAGACATAACAGCATTGCGTGTGCTTTTTTGGTGGAAAAAAAGGCGGAGGAGCAGACATTGAAAGTTATTTCACCAATTTTGGCAAGAGTGATGGGTAGGCTTGTAGAGAAGAGAAGGATCTGGAAGGTAACGAGGAACTTTATATATTCTTAGCCTGTGCGACGAATGCAGCGAGGTCCCGCAACCGGTTTTAGCCGTGTTTCTACCGCCATCACAAATGTTTCGACGCGTAAGAATCCTCGACTAATCCTTTTCCCTGCCCATTTGTAGATGAGATTTTGGAGGATGTACAAGTCCGGCGCACACATGTCATCTCCACCACAGCGATTCCTTGCACCTTCTCCCCTCAGTCATGAATTGTTCTGCATGCTATTCGTAGAAAGAGAGAGCGACCCAAACATGTAAAAGACCACTAGTTGTTTTGATACCGAATGTGGAACCTCCATGCAGCTTGAATCATCACCGAGTGCGTCGATCTCCTTGAGCATCTCTTTGCACATGTGGGTAGATACCAGTGCTTTGGCGATTCCAGAGACCATGAAAGAATACAGTTACTGTTTTGGGACTCGAGAAGCGAGGGGGAGACAGCCATGGTCCGGTTGGCTCTAGATCTTGGTGAGCAGAATTGCGGGAAGATTCATAGATAAGGGATGGAGCAGAGCGATCGGTGGATTGTATACACGACGTGGCACGCTATCAGACACAATCGATGATCCGCCAGACATCCGCGTCAGACACTGACCGCCCAGATGACCGGAAAGGAACTCAGTATTCGTCATCAGACTCTTCCTCAATAACTTCATCTTGTTCTTCCTCTTCCTCACCACTCTCGCTCTGTTCAGCGTCGTCTTCCTCCTCATATATTACAACGCCTAGCTCTTGTCGTCCCTGCGCATAAAGTGCCGCATCTTCCTCTTTTAGTTCTCCCGCTACTTCGCGCATCTTCGGAATCATCACATCGAGGACGAAGTCTCCAAGTCTTCCACCAACGGCGTCGAACTGGGAGATGAACATGGGTACAAGCTCTTCGAGAATTCCGCGCAACGTTGCGTCCTCATTCTTTATGCGCCTCCCTTCCTTTGGAGAGTATCGAGGATATGGTTGTTTGTTGTAGTCAGGGTTGTCAAAGTGCCTGATGCGGTCGATATCGCAACATGTATGTCTTAAGTCCAGATATGAGAATATGAATAGTCGCATGTACCCATGAATGAGTCGGCGAAGCTGGAGGGTATTTGCTGCTCTATCAACCCAAGCGGTCAATTCGAGAAGTACGTTCGCTTTTGCTTTTTCACGATAACGCATGCCCTTAGTACGTGTAGTCACGCCCTTTAGTTCTTCCATCGGCTGTACACCTTTGAGGCAGTCGCAAATGGCGGAAAACTGCTTCCCACCATGGAATTCTGTGAAATATTCCCTCCAGAAGGACGCTAAAAAATCGCAGCCGGAAATGCTGCATCCACATTCGCAACTGTCCAGAATTTCCCTTTTGACGAGTACCTCAAAGGATCTGTAATCCCAAGTGAATTGGATGGGCGCATCGCATTCTTCGGATAAGCTTTTAGAGAAACATCTTAGATGTTCTGCAGATTGCCAGGCTAAACAATGCATGGCAGTAATGTCGGATCCTGGCCAGGTTTCTCGTAGATCTGCCCCTTTTGAGATGAACCAATTGACTGTCATGTCGCGCCTGATCAACGATCCTCTCAGTTCATTGAAGTACGGGCCGCTCTGCGTTAGAAAATGCACTAGAGGCGAGCAACTCGTCTCCATACTGCACCTAAAGTCCTTGCCACTGATCTCACGAAAGCCATTATTCTCCTGCCTTTCGAACACCAGACGTCCCATCGGGCACCAGCACACTTTCCTATGATAAAGACTCTTCCTCTTTGGCCAATAATACTGTGGCACTTTGACGCCTTTGCTCACCAGCGCAGTGAGCATGCATCTGACATGCGCATCGGGTAGATTACTGCGAGCACTATCACAGCAATAGTCGATGCCATGCTTTTTCACTAAAAGGTCAATCTCGTGCCTCAAACCGCGAAGATAAAAGGACACATTGTAAGCGATGTCCTCACAGAACTCTGGTAGCAACCCGCACTCATGAGAGTCAAACACATCTTCTGCGTAGCCGATCGGTTCGAGCTGTGTCTGCCCAAAGTCGGCTCTGCGCAAAAGCCAAAGCTGCATCATTTCCAGTCGCTTTGTGTAAGCTAGGCTTCCGAGCAAAGTATAGTCTTCTGGGGAAATGTAGCATTTGTTTAGGGTTTCCATAACATCTGCTTCAAGCATGGTCTTACAGCCATCTATCCAGCCATGTATAGTAGCTAACCTTAGGGCAAAGATGACAGTACGGTCGTTTAGTATCTGCATATCTTTCGATTGTCGAAGGTAATGCCGAAGTTGATGGTCAGATCTCGACAGTATGGCCTGCACCAAATCGTTCTCGTCTAATCTGACATCTGTGGAACTTTTGCTCTGGTAACTAATATATTCGATGGTGTGGTAGCTCGAAGTCCTGGAAGTCCGCACTGTATGTTGAGTGATCTCGAAACCTTGACTTAACAGTACATTTGCTATAGAATCTTCTTGATGCAACAAACGTGGAGGCGTGGACTTCATAAGTACATCCATAATCGTCCTGCTATAGATCAGCTCCAGCACGTTATTGTAGTATGATAGGATCCTGATGGAAGATGAAGAAGTTTAGAAGACGACGCAAATGTAGACTTACTGTCCACTATCGTCCCTTTCGAAACCCTCAGTCGGAATTCGGGAAATGACAGTCAGGATAAGATAAAGGAGATTTCTGCTCCAGTTGAGACTGTGATCGTGACAAGACGGCATCGATAATCCGTAACGGCGAGCTAATTCCTAATGTACGTTCAGCTTCAATCATGTACTCGAGGAGCTTCTCGTACGTACATGTATAAGCGTTTTCCCATCTGGTAGGCGATCGAGTGGTGACGCTTGTCCAAGTTGAAACATCTCTAATAACTTGTTGACCTCGCCACGGAATACTTCTTCAGTTGTGGTGCGACTAGATTCTACAAGGTCAGGAAGGAATGAAAACGCAGGCGAAGTTATTGGAACTACTCGATGGCGTTCCAGACTCTGCTTGATCGAGAAGCCAGCGCCATAAGCTAGTGCCAACGAAAGTGACACCCTTGATCTGAGAATCAGACTACACAGCGTAGCCCGAAGTTGTAGGTTTGTCACTTTGTTCTGAACAGAGGCAAGCGGGCATCGAGGGTCGTGAAATGAAGTCCGCGTGCATGCGAGCGTGAGCCAACTTGACCAGTAGCCAAGCGCACTTGTATGTGTCCGGCATGTACATGTAACTTTTGCGAGTCGTCGTTTCAACTTGCGATCTTTCTGATTGAGTAACCTCAAGTTCATCATGTCCGTTTCCAGTGTAGAGTCTGTCGTCGAGGTCATCTCGCTCAGCGTGGCTTCGAGTTTAGAGACAATTTGTGGTAGAGACATAATGGGCTGTAGCGTGTCTTGAATGCGGTGCACATCGGCATGGACACTATGAATGCTATGCGCCGTGGTTGTAAACCCCCTTTCGACGATTTGTGAATGTCCAGCGAGCTGCATCTGCGTCTTGTCGAACACAATACGCTGTAGCTGTAGATTAGAATGATGCTGCGCCGTCTGATCCATGGATAATTTTGTAAAATGTAGCCTGACATCTTCGGAAGCTAAGCGTTGTTGGTCAAGAACAAGTGCGAGTAGTGCAGTCTGTAGACTCTGTTGTATCGTATTCAAGACACCTTTCCAATATTCTATCTCCGCCTCTTTAAACGGGAAAGCCATCCGTTTGCCCAGTCTCTTCAAGCTTGATTTGATCCCGCCATTCGCTGCCTGATCGTCGAGCTTCAGTTTCTTTCTGATTGTTGCGATGGCCTCAGCGCACGATGCGATGCCAGTAAGAGTTGTTGACACCGACTGGGACGGATCCACCTTGGCGACGATGGTCTCGAGCAACTCGAGGAGGTCTGTGAGCTCTTCCGTATCCGCCGCGATCTTCTCAGCCTTGTCCTTCGCGTCCTTGACACCGCTAACGTACCATTCCAGGCCTTTGCAAAGTTGGATCGCAAGAGAAACAACACCGACTGCGCTGCCGGTTACCGAAAATGGGTCTGCCATGACGAAAGTTGTTGCGCCGACCGCGGTTCTGCTGGAGAAGTGAGAAGAAAGGGAAGTGCGAGGTGGAGCAGCAGGACATGAGAAGGCTGAGGCTGTGACTAAGGCGCAGTGCATGCAGCCATGTGGTGTTCGACCACTCACATTCATTTAGCACTAACACATGCAACACACTTAAGCAGCCACATTCCGGTGTGACACGTTGGACGAGATGATAGGGAATATTACACGTATATTGTTCCTGTACGCCTAAAAGTCTATGTGAATAAGAAGAGTAAAGCGCTCAATGCTGCGCAGCCAGAGACCTATGCTCCTTATTCATGCGCGGCGAGTCGTCTTCCTCGTCATCGGAATCGAGACCTTCCAACTCGAACTCTTCAGCATCTCTCACTCTACGATCGACCCTGGTGTAGCCATTGATATGCCCGTTTGCGTGACCGTTCGCTAGAGGTGCCTCGGCATCAGCCTTGTCATCTTGGCCCCAAGCGTATACGGCGTAAAGATGGATAAGCATGTTGACGACTAGACGCAAATTAGCTTGAGACAGTACGAAAAAGGTTTGAGAAGACCTACAAAGGAATAACAAGAAAGCGATGCTGTAGAGAATCAGGACATAGGACACGTGTGTGACGTTTGCATCGGAAAGCAGCTTCATCTGCTCCTCAGTCGCACCCATAAACATGAAACCTCCAGCCATCAGCAAGAACGGTGTCAAGTATTGGAAGCTGTTCGGGTCTGAGCCGTCAGTCGCAATGGAAGCTCGGTCTTTGAGCACGAATGAGATTTCGATGATGCGCGCGGCACCTGCAGCCATGAGGGTATAACCAAAGATGGTATGGATCATAGTCGAAATCGGGAGGTGTTGCGGATGCGCGGACATAGCCCAGCCTGTCATCAGGATGATTATACCAGGAATGAGGTTTCGCTTCGGTTGCCCATTGCGCTTCCGGCTCAGCCAGACACCGACTAGTCCCGCAGCCCACCAGACGATGCCCATGGACGTGTGTTGAAGGTCGTTGTGCACCCATGGTCCTCCCCAGCGGTGTTCGGTGAATGTGTTGACGCAGCCCCACGCAGCAATGACGAGGGAATCGAAAAACTCTTGGCTCCTTCCAGTCCTCCGCAGCCACATTTGTCCGACCAGGAGCAGGATCAGGAGGATTATGCCGTATGCGATGAAAGCGCTTCCCATGATGAAGTGTGCCAAACATTGTCCGGTGTGGTCCGCCCTGCAGAAGCCAAGTGCAGTGATACCTCCAAAGAGGAATTGCACCCACGTCACCACAGGCATAGCCTTTCCGACAACGCCGTGCGCCTTTACTACCACATGTCGTATCTTTCCGTTTATGCCCTTTTCAAGGTGTAGCTTCAGGTAGATTCCCATGGCGACTTGGGATACCAACATGAGCATGATGACTGGTACGAACTGGGCATGGATGTTCTCGGTGAACTGTCTGCCTTTATGCCTGTGGCCGAGAAAGTAGCCGATGATTGCGAGGACGGTTCCTATGGATTGGACAGGGACGTGCCATTTAGATCGTATTATCTGGGCAGGTCGTCAGCATGTGTGGCAAAGTTTCTTTACAACACGGAGCCACATACCCCCAACACCATACCAGTGGGGAAGATGATGCCCCATGCCAAGGACTGGATCAAGATGTGCGTCCATAGTATCGAGTCCTAAAACAACCATCAGTCATTCTGCGCTGACAGCAGGTATTCGCCTTGGCGGTGTGTCAACGCACGATTGGGTCAGGTGATATAGCCTCGCCGTCTGGGATAGCATCCATATCGTGGTCGTGAGCCGTGACTACTGCGGTATAAAGAAGCGCCACTAGGGCTGCTCTTCTTGTACTGAGGGCCATGTTGCCGCACGCCCTTGTGGAGAATGTTGAGTGTCGCTGCAGCTCCGAACAGGTGATTATCGTCGTCGTCTGCTGCGTTGAGAGTTTCAGGATGGCATCAGGGCGCGTGCTAGGGCGGGAACGAATGGGCGGTCGAGCGTGTTTGTTGTTTCCCTTGCAGCAGCAGTCGTCGCAATCCCGTGATTACGTTAACAAGAGACGCCACCGTTATTGGCTTCCGCTACACTCCGGCGGATGCGATCAACACCATCATCTCCGACACCAACGCCGAACTGCAGCTTCACCTTCACCACTCGCGATATGGCTATCGAGAAGGGCGCCACCGAAATCGCGGATTCTGAAGATGATCCGATGACGTCGTCACCTGGTGTTATTCCGGATGAAGCTGCGGACAAGCTTTGCGCAATGGCACGCATTCCGTCCCAAGAGCGACAAGACGCGTTGCACGGGGCAGATTGTCTCCACCAAGCATTCGCGCAACGCAATGCCAACGCAGCTTCATGCTCAGCTGAAGGCTTGGGCGGCGATGCTCAAATTGACGACGCGTCGAAAATTGATCAAACTAACATGACACCTCAAGACCTCAATACAGTGCAAGAGGAAGGAGCGATTAACGAGTTGGGCCACCACGACTTGAGCTCGCATTCAGAACTGCGTTCATCAAATCTAGCATTCATGACCGGAGCTATCTCAGATGAGTCTAATGTGATGTTGGTGCAAGCCTTACCAAGGATGGAGTCACAGCCTGGTGAGGAAGTACCAGGTCGAAAAGCAGATACCGGCATCCAACAAGACAGAAGCAATCAGGCGACCAAGGACGAACCCCCCAAACAAAGCGATATGAGAGCCGTAGAGAGCGCAGTGGTGGAAGATGTAGAAAACTATTCCGAAGCCGACTATCAAGAACAGCTGTGTATCGCAAGTAGTAACAGTCCCGCCAGAAAGGAGCAGGCAGCAACCGAGAACATCCATCCCATTATACTTGGTACGCAGTCAAAGGCGCCGAGTACCAGTGAGCAGCACCCGTTGGATGCCAACGTGGACGTGGAAGCATCCGATGGGTTCAGGCCACTATCGCAAGGTTACACGACACATGGCAGTCTGTTCCAAGAGTCAAGCAATAATGGCAGCCAAGCTGCAGGCCATAGTTCAGCACACGGATACCCGAACGAGAATGCAGTCTGTCCTAGGCCCATGCTCATCCAATTCACTCGCTCACATTCATAGGCTCACACCCCAATCGCCTTTACGGCAACACCCATAGGCACAACTTCGGTCGATTCTGCAGCGGATGCGTCAGTTGACAGAGTCGGCAATCATGCAGTCCCAAACCTTTCCTCGGGCGCCGAGCAACATGATGCCCGAAGTCCAGGAACCACGCTCTGTAACCCGCAGATAGATACCGACACTAGCGGAACTACCATGAGCGCCAGAGAGACTAGCTCAATGATCGACCACAAACAAACTTTGCTGAGAGATTCCACGGAACAACATCTAGCCGTGGCAGAAACGGCCTTGTCGAAAAAGAGCGCTGACGAAGATTCGGTGGCTAGTTCACCAACCACTGAACCAGCTACTCATGATCAATCGCACACTGGCGCGCGTTGCATGACCTCACCTCCACAAACACCTCCATTGAAGACGGCCCAGGAAACCACTCTCGACGAGATGAGAGCACAAAAGGCTGCGCTTCTAGCTTCTCTCGGTGCTCTTCCAGCCATCCAAGTGCTCATAGAAGAACACGCTCTTTCAGACGCCGGACTAGACGATGCAAACGACGTACCTACTGAGACTGACATCATGGCAGCCGCGAACAAGATAGTCAAAGAACACATTAAGTTACTGCATGAATACAACGAACTGAAAGACATGGGCCAGGGATTGATGGGTCTTATTGCAGATCAGCGGGGCGCACGGATCGTGGAAGTGCAGGAAGAGTTTGGCATCGATGCGGCGGATTGATCATCAACACCAAGGAGATAAACGGGAATAATAAGGCCGTCGATAGCGGCATAGACTAGCCTTGAGAGACACTTGACAGACACGGGATGGCAGTGTCAAATAAACCTTATACTGTAGGTACTTCCATTTTCGCTCCATATGCAATCTGCCATCTTCAACCTACTCAACAGTGCTTCCTTGCTTAGTGTGATAACCCGCAGACGCGCCGCGCCAGACTGGGACCTTCGACTCGCCCAAGTCGCCAACAGCAGCTTATGCCGCTCTTTCACGTAAACCTCAGCGGCGCTGCTTGGCCTTGACACATCGGTCGGCGAACATAGATTACGAACAACACGATAAGCCACGAACTGCACAATACGGGACGGCGAGCGCACACTCAGTCCGTTCTCCAGATCTGGACCGGGCCTTCGACGCCCGCCATGTGTTCCGGGAGCGAGAACGCCTGCGCACGGTCTTCGCGCCGGTTCGCAGGGACGCGTTTGGCCAGACTGCCGGAAACCGGAGAGACGCCGATTGGAAAGGAAGGATTCCAGAAGATTGGACTTCACCAGGAAGAGCGCCACACACGTTGCTTTTCCGACCTTCGTCGCGTCGACCTTCTCTCGCAGCATCGGAAAATTGTAGAATTACGATCAGCTGAGCCGAAGTCATCATCCGATGTTCCATGACTCTGCCCACATTGCCAGCTCGGTCAACATCGGCCACCAGCACCGCAGCATGATATTGGACTGCACACATCGTCTTGTATTATTGCGGGTCTTCTTCGGTCGTTTTCACTGATGTATTCAGGGGCCGCTGCGGAGGCTAAGATCGTACCCCGAATACACCAGCAGAGACGACCCCATGCTTCGAGATGGTCTCAAGCGGGTGTCAGTACCTGACGCGTACCAGCTCCGTGTCAGCCATCGGTGAAGGACGGATCGGGCATCTCGACGCCCAAAATTACGCAATGTCTGCAAGTCGGCGACGTTGTACCAATGCTGTTCGTCCGCCTAACAGGCCAACTGACGAAGTGGCGGTGCAGAGTCTGCTCCTTGCCGACCAGACAGTGGAGTCGCATGTCGTGCATTCATGCACATCGTGTCAACGGTCTCCTGCAGATTTGAAGATCCGCAGACCCACGTAGGAACGCACCCTTGGGAAGATCCCAGAAATCCCAGTCTTCGGATTTATTATTGCGACATGTATGTTTGCCATGACTTGGTTCAGCATGACTTGTAAGTTACCACGGTGGCAATTCGCATCTGGACGCCCAGAAAAGATGATCGCGGTGCCTAGAAAACACCCAGCACATGAACCGTATGATGCTCCTGGGCATACATTACCCGTGTCCAATTTCAGGGTTAAGATGACACTCACTTTCGGATAGCAAGCTCATACATCTAACTTCCGCGTGGCACTGTGGATGTCAGAAGCTAGAGTTCATAGTGTCCCGCTCGCCGATACCAAGCAAGGGTTCTGCTCCACTTTGCCATGCAGGTCTAGTCGCAAACACAACCGAGAGTCCTTTGGGACACATCAAATTACTAGTGAATGGCGTCGAACCGCGGTGATTGGCAGTTAGAAGAGGTGCAGGATAACCAAGGCCCTCGCTAAGCTGACAGCTCCGCGGTGCATGCCGTCCCGTCCACTAATACTCTCCCACTGCTAGTCAGTTACCCATGATGAACCTATCGGCAATTGCAAAGCGCTCTTCTCGAACGGGGCATGTCTCCTTTCCGTACCAGCGACGATATATGGTCGTTTTGAAGACCCTGAACCCTTGCCGTCTAGGACCTTTTTGACCGAACTCCTCCTTCCCCAACTTTCGGCGTTACTTTTACCATACACCATGTCGGCATCCGTACAGGACTTCCAGCTTGCCGCTTTGGCCGCCGGCTTCACGATTGGATTTGGGTTCTTGACAGTATGGGAGGCTGTCAAGCAGACACGGAGGAACCACAGCCCGCTACGGTCTGCCTACATCTACATGATATGGGGGGAGATTTTTGTCAACGTGGTTATTGGCATCATCGGATGGCTGTTCTTGAACGACAGGCTCGGGCCAACGTAAGTTGTCTAAAGGACTGTACACTACAGGACGTCTTTGCTAATGAAGAGCCACCAGTGTTCCAGTCCTATTCTTCATTCTGTTCTTCTGGGTCTTCGAGGTCCAGCTGCTTATGCAAATTATCATCAACCGTATCGCTCTCATTGCAGAACACCGGAGTACCATCCGTAACCTAAAATGGGGCACAGTGATACTCATCACTGCCATCAACATCGCCGTCTTCTGTATCTGGATCCCATCTCACACCGTCCCTCCGATCAGCGAGACATACGTCAAGATCAACAATGTCTGGGACAAGATCAGCAAGGTCCTTATCCTAATCGTCGACGCGGGCTTGAACTGGTACTTCCTGCGAACCGTCAAGATCAGGCTAGTGGAACAACACGGTCTCACCAAATACGCGCCCCTCGTAGGCTTCAACGGCAAGCTCATGATCGTATCCATCGCCATGGACGCCCTCCTCATCGGCCTCATGTTCCTCAAAAACCAGGTCGTATACATCCAATTCCACCCCGTCGTCTACATTGTCAAGCTCAACATTGAAATGTCCATGGCCTCCCTCGTCGTCCGCCTCGCCCAAGGAAAACAAAGCGACATGAGCCCCGAAGAGTTCCACAGCTCTTCTGGCCCGGGCTCGCACTCCCGATCCGCCGTGCTCTCGCACCAGCCAAACTCCATGCACTTGACTAACCGGTCTAAGCGCAATACGACGAATGCGCGCAGCCCGGGACTCAGCAAGATCGATAGCGATGATAGCTTGGATCTGGGCGGTATTCAGTGTACCACGGATCTGCGCATCACGCATGAGGATCGGAAGGATTATGTGGACAGGAAGGACTTTGTGGAGGGCAGTTCGAGGAGTAGTAATGACGCGCCGGCGCCGAGTGTATTTGGGGATGAGACACCGTTGCATAAGCAGGGCATGAGGGTGCAAGAGAGGGAGGTGTAGAGCGCTTTTTCCTCTCTTATGTGTTTTCCATGTTTGTGTGAGTCGTGTTTAATTAATGATACCCGTGGATATGTAATCACAATTGGTAACTACAAAGGCCGAATTCAAGACAATATGTATGTCAAAGTGTCCTCTCTGCAAGCTTGCCAAGCGGGCGTCTACTGCATCTATCCGGGACTTTGAACTCAGCTCCTTCTGCTTCGGCAGTATACTGATTGGATAGCATACTGATCTCAGCGCGCGTGCTGTCGCCGCTCTCATCCCAGCGCTGACTTCACAAACGAACACCAACTTCTTCACTGACCTTGTTTGACCCACAGCTGTGGTTGAGCCAGAAGCAGCGCGCACAGTCTTGTATGTGTGTATATGGATCTCGCCCCACCTCCACATTCCAACGGTCGTGGCTCCCCACTCGTTCGCAGATAACCAGCCCACCACCAGTACGACCAACACCACGCGACATGGTTCTTATCTGATCATGCCAAACGGCACTGCGATAGCGAGCTGCCATAAGCGTTCTCGAGATTCACTGCTGCTTTGAATCACGAACCACAAACTCGATGATACTAGATTCTTGTTGGTTAGTGATCGCTCACATCCCTTCGTGCGACTTTATCCTGTCATCTCATATGCATCCCATGGCGACGGCTTCACGCTTGGGAAACTATCGTCTCATAAGACTAGGCTACAAATGCGGTATCATCCCATTTACTGGCTACATCGCGCTGACTTCTGTCTTCTCTCGATAGTTTCGGTTCCAGTTTCTGTTGTAGGTGTCGTTCATGTCTCAGTCGTTTTCACTGTCAACTCTTCTTCTCCTCTTTCTAGTCGTTCCGAACGTCAATTTTTACCGTAAATTCGACAGTCAGAGCCTTTTCAACATTTAAATTTTTTGCTCGTTTTCCTCCGTCAACCTCTTTGAGACATTGGCGCTATTCACCGTGGTGTCGGATCTTCTATGGAAGGCAATGTCGCACATCGAATCCAGCCTGGTGGAAGACTCGCTTAGAGTTTTTACCATTCCATTAAATTCCAGTTGCCTTCCAAGAGTCTTTCTGATATGTTCGTTTTTTCTTATCTTGTTGCATTCTATCCGTTGTAACCTTCTTGGTTGCCTAAATCTCCACATGACGTCAGCGTCGTCTTAACGCCCAACGCGTCGGGGCCACCACCAAGTACGCGTTGAGAATACAATCAACAACATCGTAATGTCTTCTTCACCCAGTCCCTCCTTTCGGGCCCATCTTTCTCAGTGCGACAACCATAAATTATTCCATTACACCGGGTATATCATTCCAGAGCTCGCTCTCTTGGGCTACACCGACGTCGCGGGGCGCCTGATAAGTAAACTCAATAACTATGACCTGTATCACGACAGCTACCCATATCGGAGCCAGGGAAGTCTTTGGTTCTTGTGGGATCTGCGTGCAAAGGAGGATGGGGTACCGTGGCCCGATGGCGAGGAAAAAAAGGTACGACAGGCTGTGAGGAATAGACGAGCAAAGCAGAGGGCGGTGTCCCAGACGACCCAGCGAAACAAAACCGCAGCAAAAAAACGATCCAACCAGGAACCAAACCAGGAACCAATAGACGTTGCCATACAAGTCCAGCCTCCTCAGGAAGACCCAAAGGCAAGTCTACACACTGTTGGAGCGAAAGAGGAAAGCAAAGATGCTGTTATGCCAAGCGATGATGAGGCGGTTAGCCTTGATGATATACAAAGAGAGCTGGAGCTCCAAGCGAACAAGTCAGACGGACAATCCAGCCCCACTCAGATGCTTATCAATGCACGAGACATCGTCCATAACCTGGAAACTGCAGGTCGGACTACCCACGTCTCCAGCGTCATTTGTGACTTGCTAGAGGCACTAGATCTGGTTTTAGCGGCTGAGGAGCAGCATGGAATGCATGAAGAGGGCAGAGGCCTAGACTTGCTTGGAGCTCCAACATCTGACGAGCTGTTACAATGGCTAGCATACAGTTTAGGCGCGAGACATTCTGACAACTGGGCAATAGCGGGGTCGAGACAAGCTTGGAGACTCTACAAAAGGGGAGCGTTGAGGCAAGCGCTCGGTATCGATGAAGCGGCGCTCACGGCCTTCGCGCACGATTTCGAGATCGCTTTAATCGAGCGACTCACGAATGGCCGTACCAAACCATCAACTCACCTTTCCATGCCAGAACTTTTAAAGGCTGCAGAAGACGTCACACAAGCCATCAGAACCGACGCCGAAGTCTCACAAAATTCAGTTCGTGCCAGGAGTACATCCCTTTTCGACTTCCCCGCGACAGAAGAACAGATTGCACAGGCCGAGGCCCGGCTGGGCATCAGACTTCCATCTGACTATAAGACTTTCCTCCATATCAGCAATGGTACTGTTGGACATATGTGGGGACATCCTCTAGGCGACTTTCAACCACCCCTGCACAAAGTCGACAAACTACGATGGCTCGACCCGGCCGAAGAAGATTACTTTACCGGCCTTGCGCTTGACATTCCTGCTCGTTGGGCCAACTGGCCTTTTGCACCTCGCCCCACTGCAAACGGATACGGCGACTATCCAGAACACTTTGTCATTGGCCGCGCATTGGAACTCGGTTTCGAGGATATCGATAATGTGTGGCTGATCCCCCCATCTACCGTCACGCCGATCAAAGACGCGGTGAAGAAATTGTTGGAAGATGAAGACTTGAGCGAGCTCGATAAGAATAGTGTCAGAAACGCGGTTCGAGACTTTGCGGGTAGTGAAGATGAATGGGAGCAGATGGAATGGGCTTGTGTGACTTGGGCTAGTGGGGGGACTACGGCTATGTTTTTTTATCCTGGTTTTAAGGCTTGGCTTGAGCGTGTGGTAGAGCATGGCAGTGCGACGGCATATGTCAAGGGTGAGGATCAGGATCAGGGGACGAAGGCGTTGAAGAGTCAAAAGTGGCTAGGGAATCTGTTTGGGAAAGTTGGAGAGGGAAAGGAGTCGATGGAAGTGCCGAAGTGGTTGAAAGATGTGTTGCAGGAGGTGGGATGACATAGAACATGAAGTTGGTCAGAGGTATCATGATACAAAAATGGGCTCGCTGTCTTCGTTGTTAAACATTATTATCCTTGTCCTAACGATCTTCACAGACGTACTAGTATTCAAAGGTGGGATAATTGAAAAGGTTTTGCAGATATATTATTAGATATTACGACAGTCTCCAGAGCCACTGTCCAAGCTCCTCCTCGGCGCTACTGATCGTTCGTCGGGGTATAATGCTTGATAGAAATCCACTTTTGTCTCGCTCGAAATGCACTTTTCGTCGCCGTGTCGTCATTCACATCCTCGTCCTCCTCTTTCTTGATCTTCACACCTCCATTTACAAGGGCTTGCCCTGGGTGACAGTACCGGAGGGAGCGCCGCATCCGTAGCTTGCCATGTATGCAGCGTTGACGCTCTTGTGGTGCTCGATAGCGTGCTTCTTGACGCCTTCCCACATCTTTTTGATGCTGAGGTTGAGCTTGTGCTGCGTCTTCTCTTCTTGGTTGACAAAGTGGTGGGCGTCGTGGGCCGACTCGTGAGATTGGCGGCGAGACTGCGAAGAGGGTGTTGTGGGGATGGAAGATGGGGTGGAAGCGGAAGAGAGCGATAGGATGCGCGGGTGGGAGTCGAAGTTGTTCATTTTGGTGGTGGTTTTGAGGTTGTTGAGAAGGTTTGATTGTTCGAATTGTTCAAAGTGTATAGGAGATTTTGATGATGGCGAACTACTAGTAGTAGACTTGATGGCTTGTTGCTGATGCTCCCACAACGAACCCACCTCCCCGCCCCTTATATACCCCATGGCACAACGAAGAAATTTTCTTCCCCTTTCCATCCCCAGCCAAACCATCGTGAGATCTTGGACACATCCTCCACGTGCATCGTGACTGATTTTTCGCAACGGTTGCACATGTGGGTCTAGTAAGGTAGTATCGCCTCGCTTTGGTTTCCACCGAGTGTCTAGAAGCCACAACGCACACCGTAGGACGTCATCATAGTGTCGTTAACATCTGCCCTGACTAGACCCTTTCCATACAAAATCGACCCGAAAATAGCTAATGCCCATGGCATGATCTCCGTTAACCGCTTAGCTCCCGTCAGGTACTCACGAGAACGTGGTGAGAGGCGTCGTGCGGCTTCCATCGGCTCAGGTTCGTCAGACTTTTTATACCGCAAGGTCCCACTGCGCAACCATCACATTCTTGACTTTGACACACGAATTACCTCTAAAGGCCATTTCGTGTGTCATAGTCTCTGTTTGCGCAAAATTCAGTGTTTCGTCGTGCCTGGAAGAAGGAGGGGGATTGGTGGCTATTTTAACCGTTGGCTGATGCGTGCGGCTCAACGAATCTTGGGTGCGTGAGCTGAAATGTTCGCGATGGTGCACGTGGATTCGTGATGGATGGCGAGACCGTTGCCAACGCGCTGATCATGTGGATGCGCGATCAGAGTAAAGGTGTGGAGTGGTTTTGCGGGATGCGGGCGGCTCGACCGAGCGAACACCATTCAACGTCAGGTAGTCTAGCAATCAGTCTCCGACCCTTTTCACACGTTGACTTGGAGACTTTCGACTCACAATAATTTCAGTTCCACAGGCGGCTGTTTACATGGGTCGATGGTGTTCTAGTTGCACATTCCCAGACGAGGTCCAGAGGTACCAACTCCACGTTGACAGCAGCACGCAAGAGAAGGAGCCGGAACTTACTGGAAGGAAACACCCGGGTCAACATCCATCGTCTCAATTTCACACTACCACGCACCAGCAGCGCACTTTGCAGGGTTCTCAGCGTGCGCAGCACCACAGCAGGAGGCAATGTTGGCTGTGCCTCTTATCTTTCAACATGCGATCCGCGGTGGTTTTTCGGACAGATCAAGCAGTCACACTCGATGTCGCTGCAGCCCAGGGACTTGAGTCACTACGGCGCCAAACACCAGCCGATCTTCTCAGCAGCATCGCCTACCTAACGTCCTGGCGCAACAACTAATTACGACTTTGATGTGAACAAGACTCCTTTCTCACTTACCTGCACAAGTTTGCGCACTCGCACACCTGCCGTCATGTCACGCAGGCTTGAACGAAGCTCAAAGCAAGGCTGCGGAACCAAGATGCGGCACAGCCCCAAGTAGTGCCTACGAACCAATGAAACAACACCCCTCACAGGTCACACAGAACTCCTCTTCATGCGCATATACGGCGTAGTCGAGTCCGCAAATCGGATGCCATTGATCATATCACCATGCAGGACGGTCTCAACGCAGTAATGTAGAATAGCAATAGGCGCAGCGTGACCGCCGCCGATGCATTGTGATCAAGTACCTGGTCCTCGCTGGTGGTACACTGTGTGGGGTATGTTATCTACCTTATTCCCATTCCTATCGACTTCTTGTGCGCAGTTTTCTGCTGGAACCACGTTATGGCGGGTATCGAAGATGCTGGATATACACTGTATACAGTACAATCGGGAGAGTTCTTCCCTACATCAGACTCCGATAACTCGTTTCCACCACTCACAACATCCTTCACCTTTGCATCAGGCTGTGCCGAGCAGTGGAGAATTGTGAACCCGGACTTCCCTACCGAGGTCTTGAACTCCGTCCCTAGTTCCTGTTTCCCTGGAGGCCGAGACGTTAACAGCCCGGGTACATGTCTTCCCAGCTACCGCTTAGTAGCACTGGGCGAGTTCAGAACTCCTGGTTGGACCCCAGGTGGTGTCCGCGCATGGGGTGCCGATTGCTGTAGAAAGTATGTTTACATGCTTGACCACCATCCAGCGTACCATCAACGAAGGAACGACTGTGCAAATATTCACTTCAGCTAACTCGACTAACAGTGACATGACTCCGATGGGCGTCGGGAGAGGGGGTCTTTGCACAAAAGTGTTCAGTACATCAATCACAGCCTATAACCCAGTAGCCTTCACAACCAGCAGCACAAACTCCGTTGGAGAAACCACAACCTACATTGATTCCTTGGACCGCAGCGCAACGGACAATGCAACCATCCTCAGCTCAGGAACCATGACAATGGCCGCCATGGTAGTGTACTGGCAAGAATCCGATCTCGAAAAGTTCGATCCCGAGTACGCAGCGACATTAGCGGATCACCTGTCCATTGGCTTTACTCCCACAGCTACCTCGGGAGTTATGTCTGAAACAGCGACACCGCCTAATCGTAGTCAACTTCCATCAGCAACATCGAATCTCGGTGAGGCTGTAGGAGGATCGAAAGGTTCTGGTCTCAGTAGTGGGGCGAAGGCGGGTATCGGCGTGGGAGTAGGAATTGGAACGCTATTGGTGGCTTTAGCGGGGTTTCTACTGTACAAAAGGAGGGTGGGTAGACGGGAGAAGAAGCTTGATAGGAATTCTGCGATTCAGAATCAACAACCTGAGTTTGTGCAGAGGGCGTCACAGATGCAGACGGCATAAAGGCTAGGATAAATGGTAATCAGGAAGGTTATCAAAGCGGGATTCTCTAATAGTAATGCTAAGGGATAGATCAAACCGGTACCACGCCCAATTATAAGCGAGTTTTGACCGTGCCGCGAGAGGCTGCGCCTCTGCAATTTGCGAAAAGTGACGAAGGAGACACAAAGGAATTCAATTTCGGGATTGTGGCACTGTAGGGAACTCAGCTCGACGACCAATAATTGGTTTCTCCGGCGACGTGTGTGCCTTGTTCATATACGGCACCGCCATCGCGAATATGACATCGACTGCTAATGTCGGTGACGGATTTAGAGCGTGCCGGAACGGGGGCGTCCCGTCTGATCTACCTGGGTCTAGAGACAGTCCCCATATCTGAGGTGTCACCTCCCAAATCAACAACATAAAAGCCTTTCCTCGATCGTTGCCACCTCGGCAGTCTCCTGCCCACCATGGCGGGCATCTCAAATGTCACCCAAAGCATCATGGTCCTCGGTTCCGACAAATTCTACCCGACGCGCAACATCTGGTCAGCCCTCACAACCCCATTCACGTTCGGTTCTCACTGTACTGATAACTGGCGGGTCGGCAATGTCTTGTCACAACCTAGCGATGTCGTTCCAAGAGTTACGCTTTCGATCCCGTATGCGTGTAAAATGCCTGGTGGACAGCCTACCCACAGTCCAGGGACTTGCCTGCCCGGGTTCACCATGGTTGACTTAACAGAGTACAGAACACCAACTTGGACCACCGGTGGTGCTCGCGCATGGGGAGCGCATTGTTGCAAAGAGTATGTTTGACCTTGATTTAGATCTGCCTAGTCAGCCCACAATGGTAACAAACTGTATAAATATTCTCGCTGATCATGGTATCCTGACAGAAATTTCATATCATCCTTGGGAGCGTGCATGTCCAGCTTCACCACGCCCCTCACTGCATACAATCCAGAACGAGTAGGCGGTCAAACCATCTCCGACGGTGACATTTGGTTCTTTGTGACCAGCGATTCGGACTCCAGGAAGAATTCCACCGTGATCAGTACAGGTGTCGCGCAGATGAACGCGATGCTCGTTTACTGGCAAGAGTCGGATCTGGAGAAATTTGACACAGGATATGCGTCGGAGCTTGCTGAGGCGTTGTTGCCGAGTAATACGTTTGCGCCTTCTGTCACGACGACGGTGGGGACCATATTGGGATTGCAAAGCGGAACAGCAGTACCACCAGATCGCAGCCAGCTCGTCTCAGCGACAGCGGACCCAAAATCGAGTCCAGAGCAAGCAGACCGTCCTTCGAGATCTGGCCTCAGTACTGGGGCCAAGATAGGTATAGCCGTGGGAGCAGGCATTGGCGTGGTGCTATTGTTCTTTATCGGATTCTTGCTTTATAAGAGAGTATCGATACTTCATCGCAAGGCGAGACTGGACCATGAAACGGCCAAACAGAATGAACAGCCTGAGTTTGTTCCTGTGAAAGATGGGGGCAACACGGATGAGGCATACACCCCACTCCCTTCTAGCGATGCGAGATGGTCGGTGTTTTTGAGGAAGCAATGACGCAAGAGTGTACCAGATGTATGGCGTTGCTGGGCCGACTTGGGAGTTATGCCATGTTCAATCCGCTTGGATTTATGAGCCCGGTTAGCAGGTCGACTACATGTCTATTATCACGGTGCATTGCATAACGCGCTTTTGTATACTATTTCTGGGTAACACCGTCGAAATGCGGCTACTGCATCTGCTCACCAGTCGACGCGCACCTAGCATCATGCCTGACATCGGAGCAATACTAGCCCACCAGCAACATCGCATATACCAGCAAACCAAGCACGCAGCCACTTGAACCTTGAATGGCGTAATATAGCGCGGCATGCTCACCATGCGCTTCCCGCAGTCGTTTAGTGCGCTGATCTCCCGTCGCAGCACGCGCGCATCGTCTGATTGGTTTTTGTAAATGCTTCACTCCCGATGTTCAACTCAGGCTTCGCAAATATCACCGTGTTCAATGTCAGAGGCTACTTGTCGTTACGATAAAGTGCTTACCGTTGTTACTATTCAGTGAGATCGTCTACGTCATCATACGCCAGCACTAATCCGCATTAGGCTTACAACGAAACGCCTTCTGAAGCGCGACAAGCCGGAAGCAACATGGGGCCTAAAAGCCGCGATAGCTTTCGAATACGTGTTTTGTAGCTTGCTCCAAGTAGAAACTTCCTTCGCCATCTCAATTGATATCCGACTTTGCACAAAAAGCAAGGGGCTGCTGTCGCGACCAAACTTGCTGCTCACCATGAACTACATCTCAAGTAACCACGCATCCATCAAACTCCAAGCACACGGTGCGACCCTAACACGCTGTTAAACAGACCTTGTCAACTCAGATGGCATAATCAACCCCCTCATCGACAACGGCTACCTGCCCCATGCCGCCATCCGCCTAGGCATCCGGCGCCAGCTAGCCGACCGCCTCTCCTCCATTGCCACGACCTCGCTGGAAGCGGGCTACGAGTCGAAAATGAAGTACGTGGAGTTGCTGCGCCAACGGCCCATTGCGATTGAGACGGCGAAAGCAAATGACCAGCATTATGAAGTTGGCACTCAGGTTTTGAAGGGTATGTTGGGGCCGAGGATGAAGTATTCGGCTTGTTTGTATGAGAAGGGTGGGGAGACGTTGGGGGAGGCCGAGGTGAGGATGATGGAGTTGTATGTTAAGAGGGCGGGGTTGAAGGATGGAATGACGGTGTTGGATTTGGGGTAAGTGGTTCTCTATTTTCTTTCTGGATTCTTTGTGGTTCCTGATTCATCCTTCGTTGTGTGTTGGATGTTGGTGGTATGGGGCATATCACGTGTTCACCACATCCCATCTGGCATGCGGAATCAACCTCTCTTTTCTCCGAAGAGACATAAGAACTGACAGCCCATCCTAGCTGCGGCTGGGGCTCCCTGTCCCTCTACCTCGCCGAAATCTTCCCCAACAGCTCCATAACCGGCTTCTCCAACTCGCGCACGCAAAAACAGCACATTGACTCGGTCGCCACGTCCAAAGGCTTCAAGAACCTCCGCATCGTGACCGGCGACGTCGTGGACCACGAATTCGAGCCGGGAAAGTACGACCGCGTCCTTTCCATTGAGCTCTTTGAGCACATGAAGAACTACTCGTTGCTCATGGCCAAGGTCAGCCGCGCTCTCAAACCAGGCGGTAAGTTGTTTGTGCATATTTTTGCGCACAAGGATACGCCGTATGATTTTGAAGGCGGGTGGATGACGGAGCACTTCTTCACGGGTGGCACGATGCCGAGTGCTGATTTGCTTCTGTTTTTCCAAGATGATCTTAGGATTAAGAGGCAGTGGTGGGTTAGCGGCATGCACTATAGTAAGACGTGTGAGGATTGGTTGACGACTATGCTGAGCAACAAGGAGAGTATTTGGAAGGGGTTGGAGGAGACGTATGGCAAGGATGGTGCGTTGACGTGGTGGAATAGGTGGCAGGTGTTTTATCTAGCTTGCAGTGAGCTGTTTAGGTGGGATGGGGGTGATACGTGGGGTGTTAGTCATTATCTGTTTGAGAAGCCTGAATAAGCGGAAAAAGTTGAGATGGGGAGATGGATGGAAGAAATGAATCGTCAGGGGGATGGCTGAATCGTGTATAGTAGGCTGAGTAATCTCTAATCTCACTCTCATCACATGTCGCGCTGAGTCACAATTGTTGTGGGGGAACTTTGGTGCGATTCGATGATTGGAGAACTTGGCAAGAAGCCGCAGTATCGAATGATGCCAGGTATTGTAGCAGTCGCGGAATCGGGAGAATGGACAGATGGTATCATGTTCTTCCGAAATTCAGAGTTCTTGGCGCTGTTTGCGCGCATATTGCAGTCATCGGTTTGAGCCCGTTATTCGCATTCCTTGGTATGTACACCGGCCATGGTTACAGTATATTTTTCAATGTATCCATAGCTTCCCAAGCTCCTCCATCTTGCTCGTCGAGAGCTCAGTGGTCCCACGGGTGCTTCCAGCCCAGAAGCGCTGGTCCGTCCTTCTTCGCGCGGTACATCAACTGCCATTGTTAGCGCCGTGCGTCCCCGCGTCTATGGATACCACGTACGAAGAACCACATGGAGGCGCCGAGGCCGGTAGCCATGAATCGGTACAGCGGTCGGACCGGGTGGATGTGGATGGGGTGGTTCGGCATCTGCGCATATTTGGGCGGGCCCATGCGGGCCAGTGTGGGTTGCATGGTGTTTGTGAGCCTGGGGATATGTCAGCATCGTGGCATGTCTGCATTGTCTGCGCGGGGCGTCGAACCTGCAAGCTGTGTCGTGCAATGGCCGGTTGACGTCTTTGGTGAGTGAGGTGTGGTTAAGGTCGATCGGAAGCTACGCTAGCGCTTCGGCGCCAAGGCCGGCATCACGACTGCGGATCGCGTTCTTTGCTCCTTCATCTGCGAACATTCTAACATCTGCTATCATGTCTACGCAATAGCCTCTGCTTTTCCACTCCCTATCCATGGCAGCGCACGCCATCGCGACCACACATCCTTGGTTGTATCTCATCGCCCGACTCGAAACATAGCGACAACGCGACTTCCTGCGCACAACTGCTCCGCGGACCACTTAGCAGCGACGACGAAGCGTAACGGCGAAGCCTCCATCACCAACACCAGCCACCGCCATCGCCGATATGGCCAACTCAGCGGGCGCAACGCCATCGCGCACCCTGCAGCGGCGCTTCAAGGGATGCAGCAAAATCGCAGACTATGAAATGATGAAGAAACTCGGAGAGGGTACTTTTGGTGAAGTCCACATGGCGCGGCAAAAGGCCACTGGCAGCATCTTTGCGCTGAAGAAGATTTTGATGCACAACGAGAAGGACGGATTCCCCATCACAGCGCTGCGAGAAATCAAGCTGCTGAAGATGCTGTCGCACGAAAACGTCCTCAAGCTCGAGGAGATGGCCGTGGAGCGACCCAAGGCTGAGGGCCGGAAACGCGCCATCTTATACATGGTGACGCCTTACATGGACCACGACCTGTCAGGCCTGCTCGATAACCCCGAAGTCCGGTTCCAAGAAGCGCAGATCAAGTGCTACATGCTGCAACTGTTCAAGGGCCTGCGATATCTCCACGACAACCACATCCTACATCGAGACATGAAAGCCGCCAACCTTCTCATCAACAACCGCGGACGGCTACAGATAGCAGATTTCGGTCTTGCGCGCCACTACGACGAAGCGGTGCCGCAACGGGGCAGGGGCAATGGCGAAGCCAAGCGCGAGTACACTACACTGGTCGTTACCAGATGGTACCGACCACCAGAGCTCCTCCTGCAGCTGAGGAAGTACACCCCAGCCATCGACATGTGGGGCGCAGGCTGCGTCTTTGGCGAGATGTTCAAGCGCAAACCCATCCTCGCCGGCCAGAGCGACATCCACCAAGCGCAAATCATCTTCGAGCTCGTCGGCTCCCCAAACGACACGAGTATGCCCGGCTGGCACGAACTCCCCGGCGCAGACCCCATCCGCGCCTTCGCCCCCAGCACCGGCAACATTGCCCAGCGATTCCGCGAACTCTCGCCCGTCGGGCTCTCCTTAATAAAAGACCTCATGCGCCTCGACTGGCGCAAGAGGATCAACGCCATCGACGCAATCGACCACCCTTACTTCCGCGAATCCCCCCTTCCCATGCGCGAAGAAGACATTCCGCACTTTGCAGACTCGCACGAACTCGATCGACGGAATGCGCGCGGCCAGAAACAAGCACTCCCACCCGCACCCCAAGGCGGCACCGTAGGCGGCGGACCAAACGGCGAGTGGACAGGCCAAGGGCCACCCCCGCAGTCCTGGCACCAAAACGGCGATAGACGATACAATGGCGGGGGGCCGCAGGACCGCGGCCCACCTGGCGTCGACAACAGAGGACCAAGAGGTGGCTACGATAGAAGAAACTACGAACACAGACCCCCGCCGCCACCACCCGGTGGTGGTGACAGACGACCAAATTGGGGCAATGGTGCGGAGAGAGGACATAATGGATTACCCGCGCCGCCGGCAGATGGCAGACATCCGCTTCCTCCTATACCGAGATATGGGCCTGATGGCGTGGACAGGAGACGAGGAGGACCACCCCATCCATCCGCTGGTGCTGCTGCTATTGCTGCGAATGCCAATGGCGGCGATACGTATATCCCTAGTTATGGTGCTGAAGGCCCGCCACGGCGGAGTAGGGAACCTGATGATAGAAATGCGAGACGGGGTTCGAGGGACTCGGGTAACTCGCGTGAAGGTGGTGGGTATACGGATCCTCATCATCATCACCAGCAGCAGCAGCGGAATCGTGGCGCGTATAGAGAGAGGCAGGATGGTCCCGGGAGGGGGTTTGCGGCGAGGGAGAGGGAGAGGAGGGATGGGAGGACGAGGAGTAGGAGTCCGGAGAGGAGGGGGGATGGGAGGAGGGATGGGGGTGGTGGTGGTGGTGGGGGTGGGAGAGAAAGAGAGAGGGATAATAACGATATTTATCGTAGGCGGTAGGAATGCTGGCTTTATCGTAGGCCGGAGGATTGCTTGCTGTGGTGGGGAGTTTGAATGATTGGAGATTTCAAGGTAACCTGTCCAAGATGGTACTGTGTTTTTTTTTCTTTTGGGCAATCAAGGCGTTTCTCCTATCTTCCAAGGTTGGGGAGGGGGAATGGCGTGGTTTTCCTTGTGGTTCATTTATCACGACCTTTTTTGTAGAGCGTATATCTTTTTCGGCATTTCTACGGCGTTGTGCGATGAGGGGAGGGTTTGGTGGAGAAGCGGAGGCGTGACGATTTTTGGGGAGGGGCGGGGTGAATTGTGGTGGTGCCTGTGTGATTATGGATACCAGTATACGATTGGGTAGCATGGGACAGTTTTAGATAGTCGTAGTATGTAGTGAATCAAAGATGATTACATGATGTTTGATGGCGCTGAGCATCTATATCATTTGGCCATGGTCGAATATCGCGGTTTATAGTGATAGGTGAATAGGAGATTTGGCACCTGGTGGCAATAGGTTTCATGATTCCATATGATGAAGAAGGGTTGGTGTATTCGGCTATGTGGTGTGTGACTGTGCCAATTATCGGATACTGCCGTATCGACAAGTTGCTACGCACATATCAAACTCTTTCCTCTGCAGTGTATAGTGTTGAAAATTGAGCAACATCAATTCAGTGTACTGTGATCGTAAGGCAGCTACGATAAACAAGAAAGATCAAGGCAGTGCCCTTTTGCTCCTTCTACATCGATTGGTGAAACCACAAGTCTATGTCAATACTATAGTCTGCTTGGTCGTATTGGGGAACAAAGCATCGAAACATTCTTCCTGGTGTACAGAAAGTTCAGGCGTCCAATGCTGGTCTACGTCTCTGAATCTCCAAGAAATGCAGCCAATGCGCCGATAGACTCGATTCAAACCACTGGTAATTCCTTCGTTCGTTGATGGCAATGATGTCACAACTAGAGCCACATAGTACCACGTGAAGAAGCTCTTATGGTAGGTGCTAAGCGGAACGACAGTATACATCGCATCTTTTGAGGATTGATCCTGCAGTTCGTCCCAGTACACCGACATGTGGCTCAATTGTGGACTGGAAGAGATCGGGAATCCGTCCACTTTATTCCGGGTGTTCTTTGTCGGTAAATACATCTTACATATGCGAGCAAGAAGTTTTAGAGCAGCCTGTTTCAAATTTCCAAAAGGGTTATTTGTTTGATCAAGGAACGCCCAGGAGTCTTTTAGCTCCACCCAGGATCGCTTTCTTGAGTGTGCGAAAGCCATATCAGTATATGTAATACGGCCAGGAACTGATGCCCAGCTCCATGATGGGGCGATGGCGAGGCAAGATGCTCTCGAAGTCGTAGAGCATGCTTTCTCAGAGAACCAGGCAAGGCATTCAGAGAGGTGATGAATCCAGATACCCGCGAAATATGTCTTTCCAAATCGCTTTGCTGGAACAGATCTCGCGATTGACGATAGTGCTATCAAACGGTCCGTTGATCGCGAAAAGTTTGACATCGAATAGAATTCGATGAAGTGCAGCCATCTTTGAAATGTGAGACGCGAGGCATGTTGCGATCCCATATCTCCGCCATATGCATGAGGGGTATGGTCTCTGTCAGTCGCATCAAGGGCTTGGCACTCCCAGAACACCCCCTCTTCAGTAAAATGTAGCATCTTTCGGGAGAGCAAGCGCTCTTGTGCGACCCAACCGCGTCTGTTCAAGCTGGAAGCGACCACTGAGTCATAGAATGTCGGTCTCGGTAACCAGAAGAACAAAGGCCGTTTGGACTCGCAGGAAATGCTACACGACGCAGCGCAGTCGGTCCCAACCTTGTGCAAGAAACCATCGTTGGGATTGTCGGAGCAAGTTGCAGCGATAGTACAAACTGAATTTTGGTAGATCAGCCACATACGTGGCCCTTCAGCATTCCAATCCGTATAGTCCCCATGTGCACTAGGTTGGATGATGCAAAGGGCGTCGATCCACATGTAGCGGATTTCCAGACCACGAGCAACGACAATCGCATCTTTGAAAGTTTGTGGCATGTCGGCATAACGAAGG